AATTTAAATACTGAAATTTAATTTAATTTAAAAATCAATAACTAATTTTTTCAAAACAAAAAAAAGAAAAAAAAAAGTTCAGTTTAGCAAAAGAGTGATATTATTTGTGTCAAGTATATACATAGAAGAAATACTTATTCCAAACAGGTCGTGATAAAGAGGATTATATTCACCCCTTTTACGGTTTCCTTTTATGGTTTATTTCTTCTCATTTTTTTTTTTTTTTGCCCTCGCGTGTTAATAAATGGGCAATACATATACATATTATATCTAAGTATTGTTCCTTTTAAAAACTTTCTGGGGAGAAAAAAAGAAAATTAGTATGAATAAGAAAAGGAAGTTCTTTTAATATAATTTAAATGTTAATTAAAAAAAAAAATAACACTAGTATAATAATATTATTTTATATAAAAATAAATTAAATAAATAAAATTTAAATTAAATAAATATTAAATACACAGAAAATTAAAAGGCATGAAAATAAGCTGCAACGCTTATTATTTTAATCCAATTTTAATTATTTTAATCCATTTTGGTATTTTTGATATTTTTGCAAATAAAAAAAAAAAAATAAAATAAGCAAAATTGGATTAAAATAATAAGCGTTGCAATTTATTTTAATACCTTATAATTTTCTGTGTATTGAAAAAAAATATTGACTTTGCAATTGTATTATTTTATTTTTAATAACTTAAATCAATTATTAATAATAATATCAATAATAATATTATTAATAATAATAGAAATAATTTATTTATTTATTAAAATAATATTAATAATAATAAAAATAATATAATAACAATATAATATGCGAAAGGGCATTTTTAATTTTGTAAATCTATGTACATTACTAAATAAATAAATAAATAATATTAATAATAATAATAATAATGGAATGACTGCAGGAAAAAAATAAACATAATTTTTTTCCTGGATACAAATTTATATTATAAAATTTCTTATAGCAAATAATTAGACTAATTAAAAATTAAATTATTATTATAATAATTAATTAATTATAATTAGGTATTTAATTTAATTTAATTTAATTTAATTCTTCAGTATTAATAAATTGCCTTTTTTCGTTTATTTTTGTAATAAATAAATAAAATTTTTCAATAGCTGTTAATTTTTGTTTTTTTATTTCATTTTTTTTTTTATTTATTGAAATCAAAAATTTTAGGATTACGATGATGATTTGAAATTTACTGGATACAATTCTGAGCGCAGCTCTTTAAATGTAAACCAATGAGAATTGAGGAATAACTTCACGTGGTGTATATCACGTGACTATAGAGAATCGCGAGGCGCGATGTCAAGGGTCGTTTTCTGCCGGCTGACACAGTTCGACTTGAATCTTTGCGGTGTATGTTTTGAGTTAAATTTTCCTTCTTTTTTTTTGAGTATAAATACATATATATATATAAATTACCTCCACACGTGTATAAAAAAAAATTTCCTTTTTTTAAAAATTAATCTTATAAATAATATTAAATAATAGAATTTTTTTTTTTGTCTTTCATGAAAAAAAATATATATATTTCTTTTTTTTTCCTAAACAAATCTACTCAATAATATTGAAAATTTTTTGCCAATATATGTGTTTCAAATTGAAGTGACAACAAAAAAGTGTACTTGTGTATGTGTACATATAATCACGTGGAATTGCATAATGCATTTCGGTAAAGAAAAAGACAAATGATTTTTCTTTATAGAGATGGAAAAATGATAATTGCAAGTGTTTTTTTAGATGTATGACAAAAAAAAAGAGCCGGTGAGTTCTTAAAATTTTTATTACACCTGAATGAAAAAACGATAATTAAAAATAAAAAAATAGCAAAGGAATAAATAAAATTAAAAAAAAAAAAGTAATAAAAATACAATTTATAAAAATAAAAAATTTATATATATAATTTAAAGATACTTTTTTCAACAGTAGGAATAAAAAAATTCGTAAATTATATAGAATATATTTTTTCAATGTTTTCTCATTTATATAATTTTTTTTTTGAAAAATAAAAAAATATGAATAAAGCGACGTGTAATATTTTAATGCAAAAAATTAAAAAATTCTTGTTAAACGCAGGTGGTGAAGCTCGGGGAGTTATTTTTGGCACTTTGCACAGTACTATTGTGTCACAGAAATATTCTTGTATTCTTATATATAATTTTTTTCAAAATTAATACAATTTTTAAATATACCTAATTTTTCTAAAATGAAAAAAAAATTATTCCATTATATATGTATATTTTAATATTATTATTAATACACTAAAAAGAAACGATATTCTAGATCGAAGATTATAATTTTAACTCTTATATAATAAAAAAATAATATTTTTTAATTTATTATTTATTTATTTATAATAATTTGTTTATTATTTTATTAATAATTAATAATTAATAAATAATAATTAATAATTAAGAAATTAATAATTAATAATTAATAATTATTATTATACCTAATGTTCTTAATATGAGAATAATTTTCGAAAAATTAAAGATTAGCCAATAATTGGAAAATAAATTTTTCACTATAAGCAAAAAAAAAAAAATGGGAAATACGAAAATTTTTGTTTTAAACTAAATGGATTCTAAATTGAACTAAATGAACATAGATTCTAACCGTGGAGGCGGTGAATGATTGTTTAAAACTGAAATTATCTGCTTAAAAATTGATATGAATAGAGTTTCACTTTCCCGCATATAAATGGTCATAAAATTATAATATCTTTTTTTTACATATGTATATTAATACATTGATAATTATTATCAACATATTATGGTAATTAATATACTATTGTATTCAAAAAGTATTTCACAAAAATAATTAGCATTAAAAAAGATTTTTATATTTGTAAAAATAATATTTTTGATTAGATTCGTAAATTTTGAATAAAAATTTTTTTTTATTAACATGCCTAACAGTATTAGTATAATTAAATTACATTTAGAAATTTAATTATTATTTTTATACATGAAATTTATTTATTAATAATACTTTTTTTTTATTTTTTTTTTTTTTTGTATTAAAAGTGATAAAAAATGACACGAGATTTTTGCGAGCTTAATTACGATGATATAATTAATTTAATTCAACCGAGAAAAATGAACTTATTGAGAGAGAGAGAGAGAAAGAGAGGTATATAAATCGAAATTGCTTTAAAACTTTTAATTAGAAGATATATATCTAAACTGAAATACTCGTCTCACTTTGATGCACTTTCAAACGGGAATGTGTGCCAAATTAGAAACACAATCTTACTCATTGGGTATCCCAAGCATACATACATACATTTCATTCTAATCGTAGATTATATCCGACACAAAGGAAGCCCAATTTAATTACGTTTACTGTGTAATTCAAAATCAAGATGGACAATCGAGAGAGGAGAATTTTTTTTTTATTCATTTACATTCCATTTTTTTTTAAATTCAAAAATCCAAAATTATTCTAAAATTGAGAATATATTTTCATATATTTGAGATTTTTTTTTTTATGCAATTTATCAGATATTATAAATTCCAGAATATACAATAAATCGATTTAATAAATATTTTCAATCTATATAAAGAATGTTTGAAATTGTTTTATTAAAAAGTTTATTAAAAATTTAATTAATAGTTTGTTTTTTTTTAATTCTTGAATATTAAAATTTTTATTGAAACTTGGTTTCATTGAATCCCAATATTCTTGAATAAAAGAATTATTAAATGTTTTTTTTTCCTTTTTAAACAAAAAATTATTATTTTATTTATTTCTTTATTTACGGGACTTCAAAATTAAAGTAAAATTAAAGAATTATTTGTTTATAATTTTTTAATTTAATTTTTGGCCAAAATAAATTATTTGCATTTTATATATTAGAATATTCTATTAATATTATTAGAAAAAATATATTAATAAATAAATTAATATTACAATAAAGAGAAAAATAAATTTTTCTTTAATTTAAACGAAAAAGAAAAGAAATAAAAAAAAAAGTTGAATAAAAATTATAAAGAAATTTAAAAAAATCGAAATTTGAAATTATAAGGAGAGAAAAAATACACATTGGACCATTTTATCGTTTTTAGAGTTGGCATCGTGCCAGTATGGCATATATGTAACATTAATATGAGTATTACATTATACTGTATGTTCTGGTTTTTTTATTTTTTTTTATTACAGACAACAAAATGAGGCGTTGGAATGAAAATATTCTAAATATTCCATTAAATTTGCTTCTCAACGCTATTTAATTCTGAATTTAGACTGAAAATTTCATCTCGAAAAACGAAATGTAAAATTATTATTTTCACCCGTGAAATGACAAAAACTTTTTATTAAACACAATGTAATTATTTAATGTATATTAAAATTATGCTCACTTATAATATTTTCCATTATTTCCATTTGTAATTATTCTCCTTAATAGTAATATTTTATAACGAATAAGCTTTTGATATATAAGTAATGAGAGAACGCTTTTGAAACAAGATCTTCCAAAAGTTTCGTTAATTAAAACTTTTGTAATTATAATTTTTTAATGAATAATAAACATTAGCTTAAAAAATTCAAGTTTTTATTCAATAATCTAAAATCAAATTATAGGAATTATTATTTAATAACTAATTTATAAAAATAATTTTTTAATTCTAAATAAAATTTCAAATTAATTTTTTCCGATAATGTAAATTTTTTATCACAAATTTTATTATTTTTTTTTGAAATTACTTTAAAATTATTTACAATTTAATTATTAATTAATTATTATTTATTTATAATTTTTTATAATTATTTATAATTAAGTGAAACGTAATAAAATATTGAAAAATTTATTTTTATAATTATAGTAAATGGAATATATATATAGTGATGTCTAAAAAAAAGTGAAGTTAAAAAAACTGTTTCAATATATCAAAGAGTAACTTTGGCTTCTTGGAAACTGGTCATTCACTCAAATAGAAAAAAATGGGTCGAATAAAAAAAAAAATGATCTTTTTTTTGGGTATTTTTCAGATTGGCGAAAAATGGATTATCCGGTGAACTATAATTCTCAACTGAGGTAAGTTTTGTTATAATTATAAACAATATAAATATTGTGTAATTGAAATTCAATTTTCAATTTAAATCATCGCTTTGATAAATGTCTTCTGCGAATCGTTTAAGAGCTTCATCTTAAATCTGTGTAATAAAGAATATGTTTCTTGGCACAACATTAATACAGTCAACATTCGTTTGCTTCATGAATATAATATTGAGAACTCTACTCGTAATTTTTAATAATTTAAAATCATATTTTTTTTATTAATAATCATTTTTTATTTATTAATTTATTTATTAATTAATTTATTAATTTATTTATTAATTAATTTATTTATTAATTTATTAATTTATTTATTAATTTCTTTATTAATTTATTTATATATTTAGTTAATTATTCATTAATTTAATTTATTTATTTACTAAAATTGATAAAAAAATTTTTTTTTCAAATTTCCATAATAATAATAATTGCTTGTCTTTTTTGTAATTAATTAATTTTTTAATATAATTGTTTTCTGTTCTAGAAAATTTACTTAGAGAGATGTCATTATGAGAGGTAAGTTGACATTTAAAATCCATATCATATAAAATATAAATAATTTTTTCTTTTTCAAAAATCTTTTGCCTCGAAACAAAAAAAAATATAACCATTTCTATTTCAAATTTTTTATATTCATTGTCATTCTTTAATATTCAAAAAATTTATTTCCCAATTTTAAGAATACACACGAAAAATACGATCCACTTTATCGCGAATAAAATTTATTCTTTTCTTTTTGAAAAAAAATTATGTCTCTCTTTCTACTTTAAAAGAAAAATTTTAATATTTCACTGAAAAAAAAAATTTATTTAAATTTTTTAATAAAAAAAAAATGCAATTTGGATTAAGAAACTTTTCTGTTGAATTTATTTTCCATAATTTTTTATATACACTGACATCCGTTTTAATATCTCCGACAAAATTTATCAGAGAGAAAATTATTATTATCATCATATCATTAACAGACGCATATAATACCACTTTAAATAATAATAGAGGATCAAAATTTATTATCAACTGTTAATAAAATTTTATCGCATATTTGTCATTAGAAACTAATAATAATAATAATAATATAATTTCACGTTAAAATTAATTAAAAAAATTTTTAATTATATTTATTGTTTAAATTACTATAACTAATTTAAAAAAAAATTTTTTATAAATTAAAAAAAGGGATATTTAAATTATTTTTTTTAACATTTTTAAAAATGGATCAATTTTCTCTCTCTTGTATTTTATATAAATATTTTAAAATACCTGCATAAATTCGTCAGTACTGGAAATAACTTTATAGCAAGAGTACATTTATGCTTAACTTGCATATATATATATATAAAATAGAGTTACAGATGTCGACATTTGCAATACACTTTCCTGAGCCTCACAAGAGTTTAAAGGAAGTGACGTGTTATATTTAGGCGCCTACTGATTTTTTGCGCATTTTTTACCCTCCCTCTAAAAAAAATAAATGTATTAACACAGTTTATTCATTAATTTTTTTTTCTTATTTTAATATTAATACTATATTGTGTAATTTATTATTATTATTATTATTTATAATAATTAAAATTAATTAAAAATTTAAAGAAATAAAATTTATAATATTAATAATAATATTTTTTTTTATAATTATAATATTAATCGATAAAAAATTCTTAAAATAGAAACAAATAAATTTGTTTTTTTTTCACTCTATGAATTTAGATATGACGACACACTGAATTATAAATTACAATTATCATGGACGATTTGAAATAACCAATAAATTGTCAAACACACGAAACAGAAATAACCCACCAGAGTATCATAATAAATCGATTATATTATTACATTTAATACGTGCCATATGACGAATAATAATTTTACTCTTGGAAGTTAATCAAGTTAAAAAATATTATCATTCAAAAAAATAATATTTAAAATTCCATATTCGAAACAAAAAAAAATTGTTTAATTAAAAATTATAAATTTGCCATCATTTATTTCAGTTTTAAATAATTTCTATAATTGAATATATGCATTTTATTATTCTTTAAAAAAAAATATGAAAATGCAATTTTTAAATTCCGTTTATTTTTATTTTATTTTAGCCTCGTCAATCATTGGAGTAGGCAAAACATATCGTGGGGCTCTCTCGAGAACTTTGGTCCTTGTGTTTTTAGCGACATTTTTATGGCTTCAAATTCACGTCATCAATCTCACAACTCGCGATTGGTCCAGTCAAACATCATCAAATGAAACTCTTTATTCACTAGTACCACAAGAATTACACAGGTAATTAATATAAACAATATACAATATTAGACAAAATTTTTTTTTCTTATTTTTTTTCAAATTATTTACAGATTTTTAAAAGAAAGACAAAACAACACAACAACAATAACAAATTTAACATCAGGAATTTTAACTAAAATTGAAATAAACGAAATACGTCGCAATATTGAGAAAATAAATGCCGAACAAAAAGTAATAAATGATGATGCTTTTGGTCCATTGGCATCGGATGCACCTGTAATTGTTGTTCAAGTTCATACAAGATTGACATATTTGAGACATTTAATTGTATCGCTTGCACAGGCAAAAGATATTGAACAAACATTAATTGTGTTTAGTCATGATGTTTGGAATCCGGATATTAATTATCTTGTGCAAAGTGTTGATTTTTGTCGTGTGATGCAAATATTTTATCCGCACAGTATACAAACGCATCCACGCACATTTCCTGGTGAAGATCCACACGATTGTCCAAGGAACATAAGAAAAGAGCAGTAAGTGTTTTCAAAAATTAGAAATTTATTAATAAAAATTATTTTTAAAAATGAATCCAACTTTGTGAATTTTGATAATTTAACAGCAAATTCGTAATCAGCGACCTCAAAAACCCCCAAGTGACAAGTTTCAGGCAAATTAATTGAAAAAAATTTTTCGTACCGCCATATTGAAGCCGCCATTTTGAATTTTGAAAATCGGACGTCAAATTCGTAATCAGCGACCCCGAGAACCCCCGGGTGACAAGTTTCAGGCAAATTAATTAAAAAAAAATATTTCGTACCGCCATATTGAAGCCGCCATTTTGAATTATGAAAAATTAACGTCAGATTTGTAATCAGCGACCCCAAAAACCCCCGAGTGACAAGTTTCAGGCAAATTAATTAAAAAAAAAAAATTTGGTACCGCCATATTGAAGCCGACATTTTGAATTTTGAAAATCGGACGTCAAATTCGTAATCAGCGACCCCGAAAACCCCCGAGTGACAAGTTTCAGGCAAATTAATAAAAAAAAATATTTGGTACCGCCATATTGAAGCCGCCATTTTGAATTTTGAAAAACTAACATCAGATTCGTAATCAGCGACCCCAAAAACCCCCGAGTACCAAGTTTCAGGCAAATTAATTAAAAAAAAAAATTTCATACCGCCATATTGAATCTGCCATTTTGAATTTTGAAAATCGGACGTCAAATTCGTAATCAGCGACCACAAAAACCCCCGAGTATCAAATTTCAGGCAAATTAATTAAAAAAAAAAATTTCGTACCGCCATATTGAAGCCGCCATTTTGAATTTTGAAAAACTAACATCAGATTCATAATCAGCGACCCCAAAAACCCCCGAGTATCAAGTTTCAGGCAAATTAATTAAAAAAATATATTTCGTACCGTCATATTGAAGCCGCCATTTTGAATTTTGAAAAACTAACATCAGATTCGTAATCAGCGATCCCAAAAACCCCCGAGTACCAAGTTTCAGGCAAATTAATTAAAAAAAAATATTTCGTACCGTCATATTGAAGCCGCCATTTTGAATTTTGAAAAACTAACATCAGATTCATAATCAGCGACCCCAAAAACCCCCGAGTACCAAGTTTCAGGCAATTTAATTAAAAAAAAATATTTCGTACCGTCATATTGGAGCCACCATTTTGAATTTTGTACGGTTTAATAAAAATTTGACTAAACAAGAATACGGCTTAATAAAAAAAAATCTTTGGTTTATAAAAATTGGGTTTAATATAAATTTTAATTTTTGAAATTAATTTGAATAGAAGTTCTGTTAAATGAAAGCTATGTAAAATGAAAATTCAGTTAAATAAAATTATGCCAAAAAGAATTCTATTTCTTCGGTTATGAAAATTCGATTTTATTAAAAAAATAAATCTACTTTCTAAAGTTCGGTTCAATTGACATTTGATCTTATAAATTTTTGAAATATTGAAAATTTGAACTAATAATTTTTATGAATTATTCATGCGTCCTTAATTTTTGAGCTATTAATATACTTCAATTGTGCCAATTTTTGAAACTATAGAGATAATATTGAAATAATGTTTCAAGTAATTTCTTTCTAATTTTTATAATATTCTATGAATAGAAAGAAAAAGTTATTATAAAATAAGAATAAAAAAAATACTGAGTTAAATAAAATAAATAATAAAATATTAAATAAATAAAAAAAAAAAATAAATAAAAATAAAAATTTAAAGATTATTAAAATTTGAAAAATAATACGAAGAGTAAAATTAAAAAAAATAAATTCTCCTTTTTCAGAGCATTATTGTTAAAATGTACAAACGCCCAGCATCCAGATTTGTATGGTCATTACAGAGAAGCAAAATTTACACAAACAAAACATCATTGGTGGTGGAAGGCAAATCGTGTTTTTGATCAATTGGAAGTGATGAAAAATCATACGGGAATGGTTCTTTTTCTCGAGGAGGATCACTATGTTGCTGAAGATTTTCTTCATGTTTTGAAATTAATGGAACGCACCAGTAAACATAGTTGTGAACGTTGTAATGTTCTTTCATTAGGCACATATCTGAAAACCTACAATTACTACGCGGACTTTAGTCGTAAAGTAAGTACCGTTTTTTTTTACAAAAAAAAAAAAAAAAAATCATTGAGACTCACATAATTATAATATTATCATTACCATCGCACTTTTAAAGAACATTATATTGATGTGGGAAATTTTTTTTATTTTTAAATCGCTCCTTTTTACTAATAAAAAAAAATTGATTTTTTTTTTACTATTATTTATAATATTATTTACAATATTATTTATAATATTAATTATAATATTAATTATAATATTAATTATATTATTAATTATAATATTATTTATAATAATATGTATAATAATATTTATAATAATAACATAGATAGTAATGTAGATTTTTCCTTTTCTTTTTCTATTAATAATTAGTTGTATTTTTTAATTATTAATAATTTAAAAAGTAATTAAAGTATATAAATTAATAATTCAATTCTTAAGAATAAAATGCGATAAAAATTCAAATTAATACTGTATATGTATATAAAAATGCTGGATATAATGAGTAAATTCCGCTTGAATTTCTTTTTATGGAGCACAATTTGAGCTATATAAATCATAGTCATCTGATTAGAGGCTGTAATGCACTAGTCCCTTATTATTTTATAAAATATAGTGATTACGTTTATATATATATATAGAAAAATCTATATATTATAAGAATTAAAATTCATTTTATATAAAAATCCTTCTATATCAATAGTAAACGTAAATATTTTATTCGAACAAAAACATTTTTTTTTCTATTACTATAAAAATAATTTTTGGTCGCAGATTGATTTATTGTAATTTTTCTAATTAGAATAAAAAAAAGTATAAAAAAAAATCAAATTTTGTCCTAAAAAAGAAGTTTTTTTAAATTTCGAATTTTTTTCTAACACTTAAAAGATGTGCTAAAAAGAACTATGTGTTGAAATTGCATGCTTTGTTATTTTTTTTTTTTTTTTGATTTAATAATATAATAATTGGTATGAAAAATTTCGTGAATTAAAAAAACGAAAAAAAAAACTGAATGTTTCACGTGTGCAACGCTATAATATAGCATCTGGGTATCAATGCTGCAATGCAAAAGGAGCTTCTTCGTGGAATAAAGAAGCGCGAGACACCTTCAATCAACTTGCCCACTACCTATCACAACGCACAGTCGGCACTTGCTGCTCCCAACTGGGCTTATCATCTTTTGCCCAGTCTCTACAATCATTATCAAAAGGTCTTTTTTTAAATGCTTTCTGCAACCAAGACCTTTTTTTCAATATTCGTTATTTTACAAATAAAAAAAAAATCAGAAAGATTCAGAATAAAAAATTGTTTACTTCTTTTATTTTTATAAATTAAAAAAAAATTTTATATAAATTAAATTTAAATATAAAAAAAATTTTGTAATTATTTTTTTTTGAGGAAAAAATTGCATGACTACTTTCTGATTTTTCTTTTAAAATTGTTCATTGAATTTTTTTTTTTTTGAGAAACAATTCCTGGGATGCATTATTAGAGTAAATAGTAGAAAATATTTATAGTAGATAAAAAATGTAGTATTTTTTTTTGCAATATGTAGAAATATTTATTATTTATATTTTTTTTTATTTAAAAAACTTATAAATTTTTTTATAACAATGAAACAAAATAATTAATAATTAAAATATAAATTTTTCAAAAAAGAATAACATATTTACTGAAAAGACTGTAAATACCAAAGATCTTAAAGAAAAAGTCACACGCAAGAAATGTTTTTTTTTCTGCCCCGGTATTATATCGTGCAAAATAACAACTATTTACGTTTTACTTACTCGTTCCCAAGATACTTCTTTAAATATATATATATATATATACTTTACTGTCGAGTAAATCGTGTGAATAGCCATATTTTACTCTGGGATGTTTCCTTCCGCGCTCACCTTTTTAAACGCATATATAAACACAACTAATTAAGTAGCACCTTGAAATTATAATTACCGTAAAATATTTAGTTGGCGAGCTGATTTTATCTCTGCACTAAATATTTCTCGTTAAATCGTATATAGATACATATAATGCATAAATATATAGAAAAAATTTTCAATATTCTTAATTTAGAAATTTTTACTTTAAAAATATTATTGCGCAATTATTGAATTTTTTTTTTAAATTGGTCATCTAATTAAAATTTCCATAATTATCGAAATAATTTTATTAAAAATTTATACATTAAAATGAATATATTTATTATCAATAATATATTAAACAAATTATTATTTACTGTTTAATATTATTATTAGTATTAAATAATTGTTTTTACTTAAATTTTATTAATCCTTAAAATAACATTAAGGTAAAAAATTTTTGAAAACAAATATAAAAATACCGACACAGAAATCTACCTTACCGACTGATGGTAAAACAGTTTTTTTAAAAATTAAAATTTAAAAATTACCAGCACAGAAATCTATCTTACCGACTGATGGTAAAACAGTTTTTTTTAAAAAAATACAATATAAAAAATTACCGACACAGAAATCTACCTTACCGACTGATGGTAAAACAGTTTTTTTAAAAATTAAAATTTAAAAATTACCAGCACAGAAATCTATCTTACCGACTGATGGTAAAACAGTTTTTTTTTAAAAAATACAATATAAAAAATTACCGACACAGAAATCTACCTTACCGACTGATGGGAAAACAGTTTTTTTAAAATTACAATATAAAAATTACCGTCACAGAAATCTACCTTACCGACTGATGGTAAAACAGTTTATTGAAAAATTAAAATATAAAAATTACCAGCACAGAAATCTATCTTACCGACTGATGGTAAAACAGTTTTTTTAAATACAATATAAAAAATTACCGACACAGAAATCTATCTTACCGACTGATGGTAAAACAGTTTTTATGAAAACAAAAATATAAAAAAATACCATCGGTCGGTAAGGCAGATTTCTATGTCGGTAATTTTTTATATTTTTATTTTCAAAAACTGTTTTACCATCAGTCGGTAAGGTATGTTTCTACGTCGGTAATTTTTTATATTTTTCCTTTTAAAAACTGTTTTACCATCAGTCGGCAAGGTAGATTTCTACGTCGGTAATTTTTTTATATTTTCCTTTTAAAAACTGTTTTACCATCAGTCGGCAAGGTAGATTCCTACGTCGGTAATTTTTATATTTTAATTTTTTTAATAAACTGTTTTACCATCAGTCGGTAAGGCAGATTTCTATCTTGGTAATTTTTTAGATTTTTATTTTTCAAAAACTGTTTTACCATCAGTCGGAGAGGTAGGTTTCTACGTCGGTAATTTTTTTATTTTTTCAAAATTTACCATCAATCGGTAAGGTAGATTTCTGTGTCGGTAATTTTTTATATTTTCTTTTTTCAAATTTTTTTTTAATTAATAGTTTTTTATAATTAATAATAATTTATTTATATTTATTTAGTATTATTATTTTATTGACTTTAAGTTGTAATTTAATAGGAAAAAAATACTTTTACGATATACGTAGGTTTCACTGTATATTATATTTTTTCAATAAAATATTTTTTTTGTATTGGGATCTGAAATACTGCGATACGCCATCTGGTGACGACCTCGTTGTGTCAGCCATTTTTCGTTTCATCTTTTTTAAAATATATGTAGAAGAAAGAGATAAAAAATCAAGATGGCTGACGCAACGAGGTCAGTTTCCCCATAATTCCCTATGATTTCAGATCCCAATATTATAATAATATTTATTTTCATTATATTTATTTATTATTGTTATAATTAATTAGAAGCATGCAAATTGCTTATACGTAGGTATATATGAATAGTGATATCTGTAATAAAATCTGGTCTGTAAATAACCACTTGTCTAGATGGATCCTTAACATTAAATGTTTGCCGCACGAGAGAGAAAAAGAGGGATATATATATATATATACATACATAGAAAAATGAATATTTATGTCTACATTTTAATGACATGTAAAATCGATTCTAAAGAATGTGGATAAAGTGACGTAGAAGAAATGAAACATTTTTTTTTACTTGACAAAATTAAAAAAAAAGAGAGAGAGAGAGATCGATAAATTGTAATTAAAATTATCATATATAATCATTCTCGCTAACACTTAAATATTATATACACATATTTATGCATGTGATTAAAATTATAATTTCCTAGAATATATTTATAAAAATATGTATTTTATATAGTTTTTTTAATGACTCATATAAAATTTATGAAATTACTTCCATTAATTTCTTTATCGAAATTATTTTCTATTTTTGATAAAATTCGTGCAAAAAATTATTTAATAAATTATTTTCTTTTTGGCCTGATTTAGCACGTTGCTTGAAAAGATATTTGCATTTTGAAATATTATTTTTTATTTTATAAATGGTTTTTTTTAATTTTCTTTTTTTTTTGTTATGAAAACTACATTTTCTATACGAAAGTTATTTTACATTTTTTATTTTTGAAAGAAAATAATATAATATTATTATTGTATATATATTATATTATTTAATATTTAATTGTTTTTTTTTCTTTTTTTAATGAAAAAAAAAATAAGTCTCTTATCGTTTTTTGTGATATAAAATAATAATTATATTGCGACAATTTCAGGCGGAAGTAACACCATGGATATCAAGTAAACACAATATGGGAATGGCATTTAATCGTGTGACATGGAATAAGCTGAGAAAATGTGCTAGTCAATTTTGTTCGTACGATGATTATAATTGGGATTGGAGTCTTCAACATGTGGCTCAAAGCTGTCTTCCACCGAGTAAAGGCGCTGGCACTATTCCTAGGGTTGAATCCGGCTTAATTGCTATGATGATGCGAGCTCCTCGTGTCTTTCACATTGGCGAATGGTGAGCCATAATTTTTTTTTTCGCCATATTAATTTTATTTATTAGCTTTGAAAATTTTTTTTATTAAATAGAATTTCTATATTTAATCAAGATAAAAAATTAATGAAATTAATTAATTAATGAAAATTCGATTCAAAATAGAGAATTCCAGACATTATAAAATTTGATAAAATAGAATTACGACTAAAAGAATTGAATAAATTTTCAAATTAAAATATATTATCTTGAAATGAAAAATTGTATTAATTTTTTTTTTATTATATAATTGAAATATTTGGAAATTATTATTGAAGAGAAATGACAAAAAATAATTCATCACACGAATGTTAATTTAAGTGATAACGTATGTGCTCTAAATTTCTGATGTTACCGCCCACTAGTGATTGTCGTAATTATTGTTCAATTCGAATGCTGTCATACACTAGTCCCTCAGATTGATTAAAACAATTCTAACTATCAATAAGTACCACTCAATTAATTCAATATCAAATTAACACTATATATTTATAAAAACTGTTTAAATATAAATAATATATTATATATATATAATATATATAATAAATTTAAAAATTAATTTTAATTGCACAAATAATAAAATTTAATAATTAAATTAAATTTTCAATAAAAAAATTCGTTTAACTGAATTTTGAATATATAGAAACTTTTTTATAAAAAAAAGTTCATTGTTCGATAAGAAAAAATTAAATCATAAATTATAAAAGAAGCTCGTGATTTGAAATTAATATATATATATTATTTGATATTTTCCAGTGGAGTTCATCACAAGAAGACAAATTGCGAATCGACAGCAGTGATAGCAAAAGTTCGTAATGTTCTTAAGTCTGCTCGAAATCATTTATATCCAACAAAACTCACATTGACTGTTGCTGGAGTGGCAAAAAAGACTAAATTAAAAAAAGGTAATGGAGGTTGGGGAGATATTCGTGATCATGAACTATGTCTGAATATCACTTTAAATACGGATCTGTTATTAAATTAAAATCAGTGAATTATTTATAATATTTAATTACTTTACGAATTCTCAATTTTGATATATTTTTTTTTTAATAATTTCTCATAGATCTGAATAAAAAAGAAAAGTTTTGAGCAGGGCTCAATTTTTTCTTTTTTTTTTTTTTTAATTTTTTTTCTATTCACTCTCAGTAAATTAATTAAATGAAAAAATTGAAGGGTTTTTCATCGGTGCAAAGAATTTTTTTTTTAATATTCATTTTTATATTCTCTTGTATTTTGTAAATGTATAGTAGTTTTCTATGTATTAATGTTATTTAAATTAATTTATTCTTATTTTCAATAATTTTCAATTCTAATTGAAAATATTGCTGTATGTAAATTTCATAATAATTTTTACAATAATTTAATTGTAATTGATTATGAAAATATAACCCTTCAGTTTTTTTTCAATTTTCTCTAATTTTTTTTTTTTTTTTTTTTTAATTTAAGGCGCACACGAAACATACTTTTTCCGTGCTCAAATATTTCCTTCCACTAAAATGCGTGTTGGAAAATGTTGAAATCTTATAAATGTATATTGTATACGTGTGAAAGAACTGATATATTATTATGATCAATTATTATAATTGATGAAAAATACTATAACGAATTCGTCCTTTCACTGCTCTAGCTTTTTACAAAAAAAAAAAAAAATAATAATAAATATTAATGGGCTACTTATAAAAAGAGATTTTTGTTTATAATATCATCATAGATTTAAAAAAAAAAATTGTTTTCAAAATTTAAATGGCGTAAATGACACGTTACATAATGCTCAATTTTTCAATATAGTTTTGAAATTTGTTTAAAACAAATATCGCTTGTAGAATAATAAATTAAATAATTAATAATTAGTTACTATATATAAATATATAGAACAAATTTTCGAATTAAGCCTAGTAAAAAGCTATGTGAATTGGTGAAAAATATTTCAGTATAATTTGGAATAAAATTTATCAATTTTTATTTTTTACAAGATGGTTTTTTTAAATTTTTGTTTTAAAGAATCTCAAAGAAATATTCTTCACCAAAAATGTGATTTTTAATGTGTGAATTAAAATGTGTACGATTTGTGACATAGTGATTGGTTTTCTTTTTCTTTTTAGAAGAACTCAAATGTATTTTTTAATGTCTTTTATCAAAAAATTGGAAAATTGAATTGTCTAAAAATTTTTTAAATTGCACCCGTATGTTATTTTCTAGTCACTATTTTAAAAAAAAAATGTATATCGTTAAAGAAATATTTGATATCAATTTGCCATAATTGTATATAATATTAAATTAAATAATTAGATATTCTACAAAATTATTTGTTAAATTGAGATTAATTTAGAAACTATATTATTTAAATGAAATGAAAAACTGCTAAAGTGTTTTTTTAACACTTTTAAATATCAGCTGCTGTAGAATCAATGTAATTATTAAACAAAAATTTTCTTTTCAAAAAGAAAAAAATATGTTTTATATTTTACAAAATGATTATAATTTCACAAAATAATTGTTATATATAAATGTTAGCAAATTTTAATTTTAAACAGAAAATAAGAAACTGATAGTTTAATAAATGTTCTATTTAATCATTATTAATAATGACATATATAAATGAAAATATCAATTGAAGAAAAATTTATTTTCTACTTTATATATATATATATATATGACTAATAATATAGAAAAATATAAACATGATGCTTTTATGTACATTGTGATCTCATGTTTTACTATATTAAAAAAAAAAGAAATTTAAACATATATGATTTTATCTCAAACGTATTTTATCGTTATTATTTTATTATTGAATATAGTAATTTCTATATAAATATATATGTACATTTAGAAAATTGAAATTTAAAAAAGTGAATGAGTGTTTTCTAAAGATCTATATGTTTTTTGCAAGAAATTTTTTCATATTATAATTGTTTAGACTATAGAATACACTTTTTTTTGAGAATGTGTGTATAGAAATTCATAAATATTAACTTTGTTAATATTTCATTATAAGTATAACATGGTGATATTCATTGCGATAGCGTAACAAAATAAGTGTTTTATATCAAAAAAAAAAAATAAAATAAAAGTGAATGTTCCTCAATTATTTTGTGTCTAAATATAATTCATTTGATTTTTTAAAAATTAAAAATATATCAAAGAAATTTAAAAAATACCCAATTGTTTGAGAGCAGTTGGTACATAATCATCATATTTTGCTCTCATAAAATTTCCGGCAATTGGTCCTTCCAAATTGTACTTTTCAGCGAATTTCTTTATCGAAAATCTATTTCTCATTTTGTCTCTGTTTTTTGAAAAAAAAAATTGAATTTGAATTTCAAGAGCAAATAAAAAATTTACAATTCTTTAGGATGATTTACAAAGAAAAAAAAAATTACCTGTTACTAAGACGCCTTTCGTCGAATGTGATGGCACCTTGATTTTGTTTAAAAAGTAAAAAAACGTATCTATGTGGTTTGGCATTTTTAGGCGGCGCTGGACCAAAATATTCTGTTAAAACTTCTCCTTTTGCCACACTATTTTCGGGAATGTTACCAACAAGCCAATGTTGCCATTCACGATTATAGCCCCTAACTGGCGCATCAAGATCTGCAAAATAATTTAAAATTATGTTTTAATTATTTAAAACAAAAATTTAGTTTATCAAATAAAGAAATTATTGTAAGTAAAAAGAAAATAACAAAAAATTGAGAAATCAAATAAATAAATGAAAAAAAACATCAGAAAACAGGTTTATTATATATATAATAGTGAAAGTTGACTCTTCATTCACAAAGATTGTGAAACGTAGATAAATTAACATTTCGGTGATGTTCTTTCTTTTCTTTTGTATTAAAAATAAAAATTAAATTCTCAAAATAAAAATAAATTTTGATATTATATTTCATTTTTCTCTAATTAATTAAATTTCAAGAAATATAATTTTTAATTTTTAAAAATTTCCAATTTTTAATTAATTATTATTTTTAAAACTGAATTTTTATTACCTGTCATTGACAAAGTATAGAGAAGACCTCCGTCATGCTTGTAATCAATATGAGGGATATTTTTTGTTTCCGTTGGTGTCAATTCATTTCCAAGGTCGACTGTTATATTCCCATATTTTACCTGAAAAGAAAAGAAAATTTTTTTTTATATTAACTGTTAATGATCGAAAAAAAAATTGAATTATACCTCAATTAAATCAGTCGGTGCTGAGTCCAAAATGTCCGAAACAATTTTTGCATCCTCAAATTTTGATTTTACGTCTGCCACTACGAGACTGACTCCAAAGAGGAGAAATCCTTGAAAAATTACATTTTCAAAAAAAATTATCATTAAATTAATATTTATTAATTCAAAAATTTATTTATTTTACAAATATAAAAAAAAATTTATATTAAATTTTCGTCCTTCTATAATTTAAATATTTCCTTATTTTTACATTTATTATACTTTAAATTTATTTTCATTATCTGATTTTTTTATTGGCCATGAAATTACATAAAAAAAAAAAAAATGAAACCTTCGACAAATTATAAACTTCCTGTGACCTCAGGAGAATTTTATATTTACAAACAATGTAATAAATTAAAGAAATTAAAAAATATTCATTAAAATAATTTAAAAAATTGTAGTTAATTTAAATTAATATGCAGAATTTTTAGTAAAAAAATGTTTTTTAACTCACCTGTGATAAAATACTTCATTCTTGTTTCCAACTTCAAAATAGACTGACACTTTTACTTTATATTCTCCCCTCCAATTAAAAATTATAAAAGTACATTCACCGTGCATTCTACATTCACACATTTTATAGTATTCAAAAAATAAAAATGCATTTTTTTTAATAATAAAAAAAGTTTTTTTAATCACTAAAAAAAGAAAATTATGAACTAAAATTAATTAAATATAAAGTACAAAAAATTAAAACTCAACTATTTATACAAATAGAAAGAAAATAAAAATTGACAAAAAAAGGGAGAATATAAAATATGACTTTTTTTTGATGTAAAAGATATTGTTTCTTTATTATATATACTCTTATGGATAAATATTACATTATTACAAACTTGATAGAAAAATATTTATAAATTCTAATTAAAAAGATTTACATTTTTGACAAAATTTGCATCTTATTTATAATAATTAAATATAGCATTGTGTTTATATTCTAAAAAAGCATGATTATGATAAAAGAAAAGATCTTTTATTTTAGAATGCATTTGTATGTGAAAAGTACTTTAAAAAAAAAGGATGTTTAATTAGAAACTGATTGATCCCATTCAGCTTGGAACATATTTCCAGCAATTGGATCGCCAAGATTATATTTTTCCACGAATTTTTTTGTGGAAAATTTACGACGACCTTCTTTTCCATTACTTGTGAGTTGAGATTCATTGAAATTTATTTTTCCCGATTGTTTATAAACTAAGAAAATGTATCTATGAAGACCCGTTCCTTTTGGTGGTCCAGAGCCCACATATGATGCCAAAATCTCACCCTTGGATACATCATCTTCAGGAATATTTCCCACAAGCCAATGTATGAATTCTCGATTTGTGGGATTTTGTCGACTTGGCGCATCGGGATCTATTTTTAATAATTTTTTTTTAAATTAATTGTGTGTTTATTTTATTTAAAAAAAAAATATTTTTTAAATTATTAACATTTTTTTTTATTTTGTGTGAAATAAATATAAATTTAAAAAAAAAAATGCATACCTGTCATAATCAAGGTGTATAATGCATTATCGTCATCTTTATAATCAATTTTTGGCATATTTTTCACTTCTGTTGGTGTCAATATTTCTCCAACACGTACTTTTTTCTTTCCATATTCGACCTGAAAGATAAATTTTTAATTTATCAGAATAAATATTCTTTAAAGAAAATGAATCATTATTCTCATTATCAAATTCCTTTTTATTGAGATAATGAGACTATAATAATGCTTCAAAAATGTAATCGAGGAAAAAAAAAATGTTCAAATTACCTCAATTTCATTCATAGGAGCTTTATTTACAACATCAGGAACAACTTGATTTTTCACTAATTCAGAAGAAATATCGGCCAATGAAATACCACTCATAAAGAGCAAAATACCTGTGAAAAATAAATTCAAAAAATTAAATTAATTAAAAATAAAATAAATAATAAATTTTATTTTTATTTATTTTTAAATTTATTATTTATTTATTAAAAAATTTAAATAAATATTATGAATATTATTTATTTTTATATAGAACGGAAAGAAAAATTTGAAAAGAAATTTAAATTAAAAATTGAAATAAAATGTGTAATTAAATTTCAAATAAAATATTTGTTCATACCTGTTACTAAAAGATTCATTCTGGCTGGTGTCGAAATTATTACTGTGGCCAAGCAGCTCATTCTCAGGATTAAGTAATTTACGTTCCTACTCTTACCAATTTCCACCACCACTTTTTTCATTCTTTTCCATTTACAGTTAACAAAGTAAAAAATCAATTTATGCTAATTATATAATTACCAGTAGGAGAAAAATTCATAATTTAAATACATTTTCTTTTGATTTAAAAAAAATCGCTTTAAAAGACAAAATGTCCCAAAAATTGCAATAAATCCAAAATGATTGTTTAAAAATACTAAAATTTAATTTTATAAAATTGTTTTCTTGCTAAAGAAAATTAAAAACTTAAAAGAAAATTGCAAAAAAAATTTAATTAATTCAGAAAAAGAAATATCTTTTCAGCAAAAGTTAAACGAAATAATAATTAAACGAGGCCAATTCCTTGAAATTAGAAAAACGGAAACTGGCATTAGTTACAATTTCAAGATAATCACGTAGACAATCATGTAATCACAGTAATTCTAAACCCGCGGAAAATACAATTATTTTCAGCCTACTTCGTTTAATTCAGTAAAAAAAACTATTTTTCTTACATATTTTATTATCAAATATTTTCAAATTATAATATTTATTACCAAATCACCATCAAAAAAAAAGATCTTTAACAAAAAATATAGATTAAAAATTTATTTAACTAGATTTTAACACAATATATAAGAATTATTACCCAAATAAATGATATTTTGAAAAAAAAAAAAAATCTATGCTCTAAATTGATGATATGCAATTGTTACATAATCATCCCATTGTGCTTGAAACATATTCCCTGACAATGGTTCACCAAGATTATATTTAATAGTGAATTTTCTTGTAGAAAATTTTTCATGTGTCGCTTCTTCATGATTTTTTAAATGTTTCTCATGAAATTCCATTGTACCATTAGGTTGTTTATAAATCAAAAATATATAACGATGAAAACCACTTCCTTGAAGGGGACGTGCACCAATATAATCAATTAATGATTCACCTTTAGAAATATCCTCCCCAGGAATATTGACCACAAGCCAATGAATCCATTCAGCCATAATTGGTGCCTTTCGTGTTGGTGCATCTGGATCTAGAAAAAAAAAATTTTTTTTTACATAATTAAAATTATAGAATAAAAAAAGGTTTTTATTATTTTTTTTACCTGTCATTATCAAAGTATAAAATTCATTGTCTTCATGTTTGTATTTTATATTTGGAACATTTTTAACTAAAGTAGGAGTCAATTCTTCTCCATAATGAAGTTTTCTGTCTCCATAAAAAACCTGAAAATTTAAATTTTATTTAAAAATATAAAAAAAATTGAATATAAATTTTCTATAAATACCTCAAGCTTTTCTTTTGGCGCTTTATCTAAAACATCAGGTACAACTCTTGTTTCTTGAAATTCGGATAAAATATTAGCGATCGAAAATCCGATCGAAAAAAGCAAAATGCCTGTTTGAAAAAAATATTTTCATAAAAAAAATGTAAAAATCGTTATTTAAAATCAATAAATTTACCTGTTAAGAAGAGATAAATTCTGAATTCTATCATATTTGATACTGAAGCTTATTAAATTATCCTAGGGAATAAATACTTTTCTTCTCTATTAAATTATACAAATTTCAAATCTCATTGTCATGAAAATTAATCATACATTTAGAAAGGAAACAATGTATTCTTTTTTTTTCGTTCACTTTACCATTATATTAAATTTTAATTTCGTTTTCTTAATATAAACATACCTTAAGTATTTAATTAAGAAAAAAAATATACTGTTAAGAGAAAAAAAAAATATAAAAAGCAAGGTCAATTCCTTGGGATTATGGAAAAGGAAATGCATTCGTTATCTCTACAATTATTTCATGTTTCTATTGAGCGTAAAAAAAAATTATACAATTAACTTGTTGTCAATTCAAGACTTAATTTCTTTTTTAAAAAAATAAAAAGTTATTATCTAAAAAAAAAGTAAGATTATGAAAAATTTATTCAAAAATCTTGAAAAATTACTTTCGTAATATACAGATATATTTTATAAAATATATAATTCTTATATAATTTATATATAAACACTGGGATAAGGAAGAACATTTTTATATTGATAAAAAAAAAAGGAAGTTTATCCATCAAGTTGTTTATAAAGAATTGGAACATAATCATCCCATTCAGCTTGAAATACATTTCCAGATATTGGTTCACCTAATTTATATTTAGCGGCAAATTTTCTAATAGCAAATCCTCCACGATTATCGCCACTTCGATTTGTTAAATGTTTTTCATCGAATACCAATTTTTCCGATTGTTTATACAAAAGAAAAACATAACGATGAAGACCTGTGCCTTTTGGTGGACCGGCGCCAATATATTCAGAAAGAATTTCTCCACTTTTAATATCATTTCCAGAAATATTTCCAACTAGCCAATGATGCCATTCGCGGAATTTTGGCTCCTTACGACTTGGAGCGTCAGGATCTTAAAAAAGAAAAAAAATTATTATTTTTTCTATATATATATATATATATAATTAAAAATAATTACATACCAGTCATGCAAAGAGTGTAAAATACACCAGCTTCAGCATTCCACTTAACAGACGGAGGATCTTTAACTTGTGTAGGTGTAAGAATTTTGCCAATTTCAACTTTTAAATTATTGGAATATGTCACATCAAGCACTGAATCGGGAACTTTATCAATAACATCAGGAATAACCTCATGAGTTTTTAAATCGGCTGCCATTGTTGACATTATTCGCGTTCCAATTTCAATTGTCGGTTTTTTGAAAAATAACTTTTGAACTAAAAAAAAAACCGAGAATAATATTTTCAAGTTGTGCGCATAAAAAAAATAATAATAATGACTCGTCAATAATAATTCTCAACAATAGACAAATCTACTTCCTATTGTTTTGCATAACACTTTGCGAATAGAATGAAATAAAATTCTAAAAAAAAAAAACAAAAGAATCAAGACAATTCTAGAGAAATTATATAAACTTTTATAGAAGAAAGTTGATTTAAGAAAAAAAAAAATAATTTATTTACTTGCTCCAAGTGTAATAGAGATCATGATCAATGGCGAAAGAAGCTTCGAGAACTGCTTATCAATTAACTGCAACAAACCGGATTGCCGGCACCCGAACCGGCATTTATTTTCGAAATTAATTTCATTTAGCCAAAAGTATTCTACCTAATTGATTTATATAAATAAAGTAGAAATTAATATATTAAGATTTTCACTTTTAAATTGAATTTTAAAAATAATTTTTTAAATAGTAGAAAACTAATACACCGACAGAAATATTTATTAGACAAAAATATGTTAGAGAATTAAAGAAGTTATATTAATTTTAAATTATAATCACTTTCTACTTATAAATAAATTGGTAAAATATACAAAAATGTGATACCTTATTTAGAATGTTTAGAATTTATATTTTAAGGTTATGTTTTCTTCTAAAGCGATAACTGACAGTAACTAATGTTTTTTTTTTACAAAAGTATTTTAAGATCTTTATATATTTATTAAATACTTACATGCACAAATTTCCTTTTATTTAATCCAAATAGATCAAAAAAAGGAAAGAATAACCTAAAAATTAAAATTAACGGAAACCGGAAAACGAGAATATATTATATATTTATAAATCAATAATAATTCCCAACCTTACCGACTAGATGTCGATGCTATCACTTTTACCTCCATTATATACATGTCTCTCTTCTACACAAGTATATTTCCATTGGTTTACCTTGTTTCATCTCTCGACTACAAAACAGCGCCACGGCCCCTCATGTAAACGACCGCCATCACCGCCATTATAGATCCCGTTGTGTGTGACCGAGTCACTTTGCTCTCTACAATTTTCACCGGAAAATAGTGCTTTTCATCAAGAAATTTCTCAATAAACGTGAACAATTTTTTAGCAGTGAAATGAAAACATACAGTAGAAAAAAGGGCGATAGCCCAAGCAATGTGATAATTCATGTAAATGAATTGTGCCGACTGTGTTTGGCTAAGGAAGAAGAAATGGTGCCGATTTACGACGATGACGCTATTCCCTTACCACTACGTATCATGGCTTGTGTTAATCTCGAGGTAAGTACATATACATATATATATATATATATTAAATAGAAAGAAAATTATAAAAATTCGCATAAATTTTCGTTAATACTTTTATAAGATAAAAAAAATGTAATTTCCCCTACTTTTTATAATCATTTATGACCGATTGAAAAATAGGAATCTAGTTTATCCCTAATTGTGTGCCCTTTCTCCTTTTCATTTCACTTGGTGTTGGTTTTTGTAAATATTCTCTAAGTTCAATTTTCCTTGTACATACATATATATATATACATAGACATATACAGCATAGAGAATCTCTTTACCGAGTTATCGACTTTGTGTGCGCGATGGCTGAAATTCTTGTTACAGGAATCTAGAATGAATTTCAACAAGAAATAAATAGATTTGACTCTGCAGATTTATAGAAATCTGCAATTGAATATTGCGAATATTTGTTTCTTGAATTATAGTTTTAATGTAATATATATATATATATTAATAAACAGGTGTTTGAAGAGGATGGTCTTCCCAATATGATTTGTTATCCGTGCAAATATCAATTGGAAAAATCGTATCAATTTAAAAAGAAATGCGAAGCAGCAGATGTGAAATTGCGTAAACATATGAGATTAATTAATCAAATGACTGGCGAAGAAGACGACGAAGAAAGTCAAGATAGTATGAGTATGGATCAACCATCGAGCAGTGGAAAATCAAAACAAGTGAAACAATTGTTAGCTGATTTAGTAGCGAGTAAAGAAGGTATTGAACTCGATACAGAACCAATTGAAGTCACTGAGGAAGAACTTGTCGGTGGATACATATTGGGTAAATTAAAAATTTTCAAAAAAAAAAAACTTTACAAATATTTTGAGAATTTACAATTTTTTTTTTCTTTTTTTTTCATTAAGGAATGTCTGCAGAAAATCCTGATGCTGATGAAAATTTTTCGGAAGGACCTGAAAATATAACATTAATGCCAGCTGAGGAAAGAACAGCGAAAGCAAGATGTACAATGCGTACAACACGCATAAAACAAGAACAAGAAACAGATGATGAAGCTGAGGAACATACACACACACTTCAAAGAACTGTTCCAAATCCAGATCACAAAAATGTCTACTTGATGGAACTGAGTAGTAACAGTGCTGGTGGTCAAATAATGAGTCAAACAATAGGTAAAAAAAAAAAATAAAATAGATTTAAAAAAAATAATTTTCCTAATGAGAAAATTTAAAATTTTAAATATTTTTCCAGTTGGTGAAGCTACAGAAGAATTGAAAGTATTCCAATGTGATAAATGTCCAAAAGCATTTACACGACGAATTATGTTGAAGAGTCATCAATCGGTTCATTCAACACAAAGAGGATTCACTTGTCAAGCATGTGAAAAATGGTTCCCAACACGATCAGCTTTAGTTAGACACGAGCGAACTCACACTGGTAAAAAAAATCAAATTTAAATTAAAATTGTAATGCTTTTTTTAATATATTAATTTTCTTTCTTTTTTCATTGCAGGAGAGAAACCATTTGGTTGTAATATTTGTCATCGTGCTTTTGCACAAAAAGAAATTTTACTTCGCCATTTAATGACACACTCGGGACAAAAACCCTTCCAATGTCAAAGTTGTGACAAGAGTTTTACTCAACGTGAAGCATTAAAAGTACACATGCGAAGACATCAGAAATTAAATCCCAATGATATTCAATTGCATCATTGTCAATTGTGCCCAAAGGCATTTTGTCATGCTTCCGGTTTAAGTAGGCATTTAGTTACTCACACTGGTAGGACATATAAATGTGTTGAATGTGAAAAATCATTTACTGATAAAAGTTCACTTCTCAGACACAGTAGAATTCATGCACCCAAAAAACTTGTTCTCAATTAAATTTTTTCAAAAAAAAAGATTTTCAGTTCTATACTTCATGTCAATATTAATTATTTTTCTTTAATGAGTATAATCGTGCAATTTTCATGTTCAACACATTTTAATCAAATACTTCCATTCCTGTAAATAAAACAAAAAAAAATAATGTTATTTCAATATTCGTGAAAAAAGGAATATTAACTCTTTTTCTGAATGTGTATGAGAACGTCAAAATTTTGATTTTTTTTTCTTCCAAAATGTATTCAGTTTCAAACTTTGTTTTTTTAAATTTCAGATATAAAAAAAATGTAAAATTGACGTTTTCATACTTTGAATTATTGTGTGTGGAAAAAAAAACTTAGTAATATTAGTTTACTAGATTTTTGAAATCCTTAAAAATTGACGATTTCTCTATTTTACATTAAAAAGAACGTATTTTCTAATTTTTAACTACAATTGAGTGATTTAGAAAAAAAAAATATATATATATTGATAGTAATAATTTTAAAAGTTTAAATTTTAGTACTGAGTGTACTATTCTTTATATATATATATATATATTATAGATCATTGGAAAAAATGAAATCATTAAAATTTTGTACATATAAAAAAAATGTATACCACAAATATTTTTTAGGAAGATCGTTTCGAATTATTTAAATTGAAAGAAAACTTTTTTTTCTTTTTTTTAACCAAAACATTGCATTTTGAAAAAAGAACCATTGTGTAAAAAAAACAAAACATTAAGTATTACAATAAAATTATTGTTCAAATTTGTAATTTACTTTTTTTATTTAATTTTCAATATTTTGAATGATTAAAAAAAAAAAAGTTGACAATTTTCTGTCAGATAATTTTTAATAATTCAAATTGTTGATAAAATTGCCCATTAAACTTTTTTTAATTACAAATTTTATTTTATTTAAAAATGTGAAAGTGGAATTAATTTTGTTCTGATTAAATTTCAATTAAATTGATTACTATTTTATATTGTTAATTAAATAAACTACAATTCACAGAAAACAATTTTAATGTGTACATACACAATATACAATATTCACAACATTCGTACAATAATATCTTTACATAACTCTTTGAAATTAATGATTATCTGACTTCACGTCAAAAAAATGATCTCTTTTTCTTTTTTTTTAATTAAAATATAGAAGAGTATATAAAGAATGTGTAACTACATTCATAAAAATATAAGGCTTTTGAGTGAAATAAAATAATCAATTTATTTAAAAAAAAAAAATGTTACAATGTTCACATGCATACGATGATTTTTCATATTTTTACATAGTCGTCCATTTTACGTATGATCATATGCACTTCAATCTGACAGAAGAAATAATTAATGTCTGTATAAACGGAATATCAAAATGTTGCATTACACCACAGACCAAAAATGAAAGCATTTCACAGAAATACTTAATTATTGTAAAAAGATAAAATCAATTCTCTAAAAATTAAAATAAAAATTAAAAAAATATATAATATCTTTGGTTATTTTCATTTAAACGTCACAATGATCTCTGTTCGTCATTATATTTTTCGTAATTTACAATTTAAAAATAAACGCTTTTCAGGCGTGATTTATTTTATTGACATAAATATTTCAAATGGATATAAAATTTGTATATATATATATATTATTATTTTTTTTTTTTTGCTCATTTGAATATTAAAACAATGAGAGATAAAATTTCTTACTGTCAGTATCACGAAATACAAATGTCACAAATAATATGTACGTTTTTCAGAAAACGAATGATAAACATTCTAGTTTTCACATTGGAAAAAACACTACTTTAGTGCAATTCCTAAAAAAAAAAAACAATCTTTATAAGGGTATCCTCAAATATCGCATAAAAGTATAAACAAAAAAAAAAAAATTTACAAGAGAAAATGCATTCCTGATTTCTTATAATATTCTCACTTTAACTATTTTTTACGCGATACTTGAAAACTACTGCAATAAATTCAATTTCTTGCCAATATATACACAGATTTAATTAGTTTAAAAAAAAACTCTTCTTAATAGAAGAATTTCTTTAACGCAAATGAAAAAAAAAAAAAAAAAATTTGAGACCCAAAGTAAGTCTTTCTACCCTTACTTCCGAGATTCTTTCCTATGCAATTTTTTTTTTCTTTATGATACTATTTTTCCATTACTCGTTTTTTTTAAAAAAACTCGTCGCTGATCCAATAACTGGGGTAGGGGGGGGGGAAGGATTAACATTATTTGGTGAAGAAAAAGATAAAAAAAAAAGAAACAAAACTTGCTCACACTCGCAACACGTTATTTACCAAATAATATTTGCTTTACAGTCGACAAAACTCATGTGTGACCACGTGAAAAAATAAAATGCCAGAAATTGGCATCCTTCGTAGCAAACATCGATTGAGGATTTCTGTTTTTTTTTTAATCGTTAATTTCCTAAAGGGGCTTCGAGGAAAATTAATCGAAAGTTTTAATAATAAAACTTTCTAAATTCGACGAAGGTCACATGAGGAATCTGTTAAAATTCAGAATGGTATAGGTTCATAGATTTTTTTTTCGGGGAGGGATTGATTTTTGTTTTGTTTTGTTTTTTTTTAAATAAGAAATGTTCAAAGGGATTTAGGCAAACTTTCTCATCAATCAAGATTTAGGGTCTTTGGTTGTTCCCAACTGAATCCATCACGACCAAAATGACCGTATGTGCTTGTCTGTTGATAAATTGGATTACGAAGATCTAATTCTTTGACAATTTTTCCTGGACGCAGGTCAAAGTTTTTCTTTACAATTTCCAAGAGTTCCATTTGCGAATGCTTTGAAGTACCATAGTCAAAAACAGTAATTGACAAAGGTTCTGCCACTCCAATTGCATATGAAACCTAAAAAAAAGAAAAATATCTCAATTTTATTATATTATTAATAATTAATTGATTAAAAATTTGAAAATTGAAGTATCATCTTCAGAATTTTGTTTTTAACATCATGGCAATCAAGAGTAGCAAATACATAAAGGACATCATTGAAAGATACTTCGTTGCATTTTAATAAGATATTTTATATTAAAAATTTCATGTTTACCTGTACTAGACAACGTCTGCAGAGACCAGCTTTTACCAATGATTTTGCAACCCATCTTGCTGCATAAGCTGCCGATCTATCGACTTTGGTGAAATCTTTTCCAGAAAATGCTCCACCCCCATGAGCACCCCAACCGCCATACGTATCGACAATTATTTTCCGACCAGTAAGACCAGCATCACTCTTAAATAAAAAATAATAATTAGAATATATTTTCTTTAATTTTAAAATATATTCTAATTCTAAAATATCGTCCTCAGAATTGTTGTTAACATCATAGCACTCAAGAGTAGCAAATACATAAAAAAAGACATCATTGAACGATAAGAAATTTTTATTTCTCTGTAAAAATAAAAAAAAATGTCTTTACCTGTGGACCACCAATGACAAAATCACCGCATGGATTAACGTGGAAAATAGTTTTATCGTCCAAATATTTTGCGGGAATAACTTTCTTGATTACTTTTTCCAAAACGTTTAAACGTAATTCATCTAACGTTACTTTCTCGCTATGTTGCACGGAAACAACAACTGTGTGAACTCGCCGTGGTACACAAGCTCCATTGTCCATGATATATTCACAGGTCACCTAAAAATATATATATTTTTTTTTTAAATTCAAATTTCAGTGCTTAAAAAATCTTTACAATTTACTCTTTATAATTTACATTTACGTCCTCAGAATTTGTTGTTAACATCATGGCACTCAAGAGTAGCAAATACACAAAAGACATCATTGAACGAGAATTTTTCAAGAGTTTATATCTTTCTTTCTTTTTTTTTTCTATTTTAAAATTGTTTTTCAAATATTTTTTACAATTGATATATTCAGAATAAAAAGTAAAAAAAATATAATTTCAATTTTTGGTACCTGCGTTTTAGAATCAGGACGTGCCCACCATAATTCACCGCTTCGTCTCAATTCTGCAATCTTCTGGTTTAGTTTGTGCGCCAAAACAACAGTAAGAGGCATACATTCGTCAGTTTCATCAGTCGCGTAGCCGAACATCAAACCCTATTTTATTTAGGAAAAAATTACATTATTTTCAAATAAAAAAAAATAAATATTATTGTAGAATAAAGAAAAATCTATTTAAAACTACAGTGGAAAATAATTTAATTTAAAAATTAAATTATAAAGATTTATAAATTTAATAATTTAAAAAAAAAAATCATTTTGAGTGTCTAAAAAAGTATTTTTTTTCAAAATAAATAAATTTATTTACTGGTCATTCCATTATATTTTCTCTAAATTTGGACAATTTTTAGAAAAATTTTTATATACTTTGTATAGGAATAATTCCAATTTTTCGATTGTCAAATAATTTTATTCTGTAAATGTAATAAATGCCAACAATGTATTATAAAGAGATTGTAAAATTATTCCAACAAAAAGAAAAAAAAAAATCGGAATTTTCTTAAAAATAGACCGCGATAACTTTGTTATTGAAATATAAATGAAATGACCCTGATTGAAATTTTAAATTTGAAAAAAATAAAAAAGAAAGAAAATAAATATTTCATCAACTAAAAAAATCATGCATAGCCTAATAGAACAGAGCAGCAATTGTAATGATGATATGTTATGAGTATTTACAACTATTTACTACAAATTTTAAGTTTCACTACTAGCCATTGCCAAATAAACTGCATACACTAAACAAATTACATAATTATTTTTCTACAAGGAGAACAGAGTTAGTTAACTACAGTTATCTACAAAATTATAATATACAAACTACTTGTTATTAATCTACAATATTTCATTACTCACAAGGTAAACATAAAACTATTAGATTAGAACCTACACAGATATAAAAAAAAACTTTTCCAAAAGAAGATAAATAAAAAAACATTCTTATCAATGAGTTACCGAATTTTTTCAATATACTTTATAATTAAATTAAATAAAAAAATTTCTAACAAATTTGTAAAATAAATACATTTAAATTATTCTGAAATACTTTTGGAAAAGTTTAAGGATGCAATCTATATTACAAATAAATTAACTACAAGAATTTTAAAGAAGAATTTAAAAAAATTAAAATCAACAAAATTAGATTAACAAAAAGAAGACAGGAACTGCTTTTTCTTTTTGTGGAAAAAAAAGCAAAAAAAGTAAATAAAATCAGTGCACTGCTATAAGAAAAGAATAGATAAATTAAAGTTAAACACAACGAGGAAGAGAAAAAAAGAAGACGAAGAATTTAAAAACCAGATTAAATTCTGGATTTACAAAATAACCTGATCGCCAGCACCAACATCTTCGTCATTACGATTCTCGTGTACACCTGCTGCAATATTTGGTGATTGAGCATCAAGTGCCAATAAAATGCTGCACAGCTTGTAGTCAAAACCTATGAAAATTATAATAACAAATTGTTGCTAAAATTGATTTGAATTGTTTTTTTCTCTCTTTTTTTTTTAATTAAAAATTAATTCCAAAACTATCATGTCCTTAAAAATTCTTTTTTTTTAGAGCTTTCAAACTGTCAATAGCGATCTAATTTCATCATTTATGTTGACTCTTGAGGAGATTCATATCAGGATTCCTAATCTATATTTGTTTTCTTTTATGTCCGCTCGTTTTTTTTTCCAAATATTATGATTTATTGTTCTAAAATGTTGTTATAATTGTCATTAAAATGAATAGAATAAAATTTTAAAAAAACGGGTACAACGAAATCAGTATATTTATCTTTTTTTGTTTCTTTTTGTATTTTTATAATTCCTACTATCCTAAAAACTTTCTTTTTTCAATTTTATTAATTCTTTTTATGTGGCAAATGACTATGATTTTTCATTTTTTGTTTGTTTTAAATTAATTTAAAAAGCATATATACCTGAAAAAATGGATTAGTGCGAGAGAAAAAAAAAGGTGAACAAAATATTTTGATATAGTCGATTTTGTTTTGTTCTTTTTTTTTTTTTGATAAAATTTTGTTGCTCTGAGCCATTTGGCTTGAGAATTTGGTTATGTACCTGATCACCTGCACCCAAATCCATTTCTTCCCTGCCGACATGGACGCCGCTAGCAATATGCGGACTTTGTTGTTCGACTGCCACCAAAAGGTTCAACGTACGCCAATCGAATCCTGCCACCACCATGATACGCTTACGTTACATATTCTTGTTATCTTGGATTTGATCGCTCGATTATTCATCCAAGAGTGACAATGGGCGGAATTCTAATGCTCCTCAGAGACCAAATAAAAATAAAGGACTTTTTCCAAACTAAATTTTCTCTTTCTTTATTTTTTTTTTGTTTTCTTTACTCAAATCGCCATAGTCAGTTTCATCAACTCGTTTTTCTTTTTCAATCAATAAACTCGATCAATTCAAACTTTCAATTGAAATTTGTTGCTTTAATAATATAATTTAAAAAAAAATTTAATCTTCATATTTATAAAAAAAATTTATCTTTGTTTAATTTCTTTTTTTGTTATTTTATTTCATTAAAAAAAATGTTCTGAATAAACGAACAAATGTTATATTTTTGAATAAAAAATTAAAATATTATCTTTCTGAATAAATTTTTTTTCCCTTCTGAATAAACAAAGGTAAATAAATTTTTTCCATCTTTAAATTAAACTGTTACTTTGAATTTAAATAAAAAAATTTATACTAATTTTATACAATATTGTCAACTTGAATTGTAGATAAAAAATAAAAAAAAAAAGCAACTTTCAAACGAAAGCAAATTGAAAGAAAATTTATTTAAAAATTGAAATTTTACCGTTCAAATTATTTTTTTCTACTTTAAAATTTTAAATTTCTGGTAATAATAATAGAATAGGGATTGGAAAATGAAATAGTTGTGATTTAAATAATTCTAACTCACCTTTCGAAGAATCGTCATAGCCTATGTGATTCACGGTGTCTCGTACAATTTTTTGATAATCCACAACTGCTTTTGATGTAATTTCTCCACACAGAAGAATCATTCCCGTCTTCGTTACCGTTTCTATATTAAAAAAAAAAGAAGATAAATTAATTTTTTTTTCAAACACAAAACGCATTCTTTTTACATTTAAATTCCTCTAATTTCTATTACTTAAAAAAAATAATCTTTCCCTCTCAAAGTGATTCTTACGTAATAAATTTTGTCGTATACAATTTTATGACATATGTATACGACAAATAAAATCAATTGTTATCTTAATGTTAGCATATTTGCACTATTCCAAAGTAGTTCAAAGTAACTCAAGGCTCAAATGACGAATTTATAAATAGAGACTACGTTGGATATATTCAAGTAAAGAAGAAATTAACAGATAAAGATGTAACTTACCACAGGCAACTTTAGCATCCGGATCTTGTTTCAAATGGGCATCTAATATGGCATCACTTATTTGGTCGCACATTTTATCTGTGTAAAAAAATTTAAATTAGTATACAAAAAAAAAAAAGAAATTATATAATTATTTGGAAAGTAATCAAATTTCTTTTTAATCATCTGATTTCAATAATTGTAAAAAAAAAAAATTGAAACCTTCAATACAACCATCTATGTCTATTTCTATAAATGTTAATTATTTTTTAATAAAATAGAAAAATAAAGATTTTCTATCACAGAAGTTTATAATTTGGATTAAGGAGACATTTGATTAATGACATTATTAGTCGGGAAAACAACTGATTTGTAATGAGTCATAAATGATTATTTTCCTTGGTAACATATCACAAAAGCTAATTTACAATTCTCATATTATTATTAATAATAATAATCTTCTGTTCAGGGACAATTTGCAATTACTATGAGCTCATCGAAATTATCGATAACAACTTGATAAACATATTTGTGTCCTAGTGTTTAATTTGTTTTAATTCAGCTAATTTTTTTAAGAATATTATCCCTACCGGTGTTTCTTGGCAAAACTCAGTGGCGCCAACGATATAACATTACAAATTAACCTCAAAAAAAGAAAAAAGAAAAGAACTTTATCTATTATAAAAGTAACAGAGAAAATTAACATAATTAATTTGAAAGGAAAATTTTCTCATTTTTTGGTTTATTTGTAAAAAAAATAGTGTTATTTTTTCGGATGATTAAAAATTTACAAAAAAAATTACTTCTTTTAGTTTCAAAATAACAAAAAAAAAAAACTATCATGAAAATGTAACAAAAGGCATGACTTTCAACATAGACTCCGAAAGGAAGATGATGCAAAAATGTAATCGGAAGTGGTGAGCACATGGCGACAAATATAATGCTTGGTAAAATAACCTAAAAAAAAAAAACGCCATGTAAATATGTTTTAATTATACAAATAAACTCCCGAATGAAAATTTAATTAAATAAAATTATTTTAAAAATATTTATCGAATTAACACTCTCTTAAAGTGTAAAATAATTCATATTCTTAAGAAAGTTAAATAAAAGCATGCGCATAATATTCATCGGCTTCAATGGAGGAACAGTGCACAAAAAGAGAAGAAAGAGAATACACACACGAGAAACTAATATGAAAATGAGTGAAAAATTAGATTTCTGAGTTGAAACCCATGTAATTTCAATTGTTTTAGATAAAACAACAACAATGATTAATATAAATAACAAAGAAATTGAAATGAAAATCAAAGAAATGTGTTGACTCGTGTTTTTTTTTCGGAGCTCAAGTTCGGCGAGCGTGTTCATGCATGTCCCAGTTTCAACGGTCCATTATAGAATTTGAAAAAAAAAAAACAACTCACCAGGATGACCCTCGCCAACGGATTCTGAGGTGAACAAAAAATTGGTATTTTGATGAAGTTCCGGTGGTGAGTGGCCATTTGCGTATCCATTCATATGATGTGCTGTCTCCGGCATTTTTCCTCTTTTAAAAATTGTCGACTTTTGTATTTCAATACTATTGAATTGTGCTAGCAACTTCAATCGTCTCACGAGTGTCGTTGAACAAAATCTATTGAGCGAGTACACGCTAGAACCGTATACTGCTCCTGTGTAGAAATGTCGAGCTGCGATGATTTCTGTTACACGTTGTTATCTTCGCGCGAGATGAGGCGCTATACACAATCACAAGTACACAAACGTTATGATAATAACGTTAAAAAAAAAGAGGGAATGCACCACTGAACAGTGTTAAGATGTAAAAGAGACTCCCCACTTGCTGACGCTTGATATTTATAAGCACCGTCAGTAACACTTCAACCTCGGGTATTTTCGTGTCACGTGATCAACAGTTTTCTAAGGGAAACTATTAGCAGCGCCAAATCCAATTTTAGCAGACAATTCAGCACTTTATCTGTAAGTTTATTTCACAAAATGTTAAATTATATCTTTTATTAATTAATTTTAATGTAAAAATCACAGAGAGGACTTGTTTAATTCCAAATCGAGTGGTGTTTTAACGTTATAGGTTAGGTTAGGATTAACCTATAAATTTTAGTGCGCGAAAAAAAAGTATTGGAGTGATAACAAATTGACTTTTAATTACATTTAACCTAAAAATAGACAAATTATTTGGAAAGAAATTTTTTTTTTTATTATTGAAAATATGTGTGCACTTTTTAGGTTAGGAATGTATATTATTTTTTATAGTTTTTCATCTGCTTAGTGAAAATAACCTAACTCAACTTGATTTTCGTGCAATCTTGACAGGGAAATTATAATTAATTTAAAAAATGTAATCAGTAAATTACGACTGAAATGATTGCTCAATTATATTAATAATCTTTATACTGAAGTGAACAAATAAACAATATTGAATTTATTGATAAATCTACGCGTAAATAACTGATGATAGTTATTTTCATTTAACGAAATAATCAATGATCTTGATTGAAATAATAGATTATGAAAATAATAGTGAAATTCCAATGTATTAGAAATTTACTATTTGAAATAATGAGAAAATTATTAAAAATATCTAAATAGTAAGTATAATTTATCTATAAACGTGTGTGGTTGAGAAAAAGATTATCATGCAAAAATGAATTAATTAAATAAAAAAAATGATGAAATTTGAAAGAAGAGAATTCACTCGTTATGTAATTTAACAATGCTATTCATATTACATTATTATTTTGTCTAAATAATATGCTGACAAAAAAAAATAAAAATTGAGTCTTATAATTGATGACTCAAAAAATTCTTATTCTAGAATATAAAACATCTAAAGTACATAATATTGAAAACAAGATTTAAAAAATTATCAACATTTTTTTATCTTTAAAGATTGGATTTTACATTTAATGTAACAAATGATTTTCATTAAAATGAAAAAAATTAATTAATTTCCATTAAAATACAACAATTAAAATATTTTTTTTGTTTTTATATTTTTTAATTTCAAAATATGACCATGATTTATTTTTTGCACAAAACTTTATCTAAACTGATTGCTAATATCATTTTTGTTTCATGTAAGACTTAAAGATAACAGACTGGGGTTTTGTAATTTGAAATTTGAAACAAAAAGAAAAGTAAAACTTAAAAAATTGGAGTCAACTGTCATTATTAAATTGATTTGTACACATATTGTGATTTATCATTATCCAGGCGAAGTTTCTAGAATAACAAAATCATTTTGAGAATAATAAATACAATAAGATTTAAATTTGTTGTTCTGTATATCTATATATATATATATATATGCGAGATAACTGTTTTTATTAAGATAAAAGTTCTACTTTATATAAAGCCTCATGTGATTTATTGATATTTATTAAATTTTTTTTACCGAATCACGAGTGTTGCCTAACAACTTCCAAAATTATGTTTAAAAACTTCTTTTTTTTTTTTTGAAACTTTTAGATACAAAATATTAAATTAGTTGAATATCATGAATTTTGGTTTATAAAAATAAAAATTTTGTGTAAGCAGATGTGAAAGAAATATGAATATATATATTTTTTTTAAATCTACGTCGCAAATAAATTGATTTTAATTAGCATTATAATAAATACATGAGAGTGTTAATTTTTTGATCCTAGAAATAATAATACAAGTTTGTAACACTTGTTTCAATAAACAATCAATGTCAAACAAAATTTCGTAAATTTCAAAACGTATATGTTGTTTTTAATAATAGAATAACAGTTTAGTTTTATATACTTAAATATTTATTTTGTTTCCTATATTTGTATTTCTAAATTCTTGTAACTTATAAAAAAAAAAAAAAATTGATAATTTATTATCTTTCAAAGACAATTCGTTTGGATTAGTTTCTCAGAATCATTATAATGATTTAAAGTTTATTTTTTCTTTTCCTTCTTTTTTTTTTTTTTTTTTTTTGGAAACAGATACGAGAGAATGATAGCAGAAAATTACGAAATATTTGTTCAGTGAATTAATATGAGAAAATGGAAGAAATTTCATCATATTATTCAATTAATATAGACGTATATATATATTTATAAATGTAAGCATGATTAGTCTGAAAATAATGTTGATATGTAATTAGAAAACTATAGTAACATTTTCCTCTTTTTAAGGAAAGAATATTAAATTCTTTCTCCAATAATTATTATAATACCAAATATATATATATATATAAATGCAAATCTTCCATTTCTCAAGGATAAGAAATAAATAATCAAAAATGTAATTAATAATTACAAATTAAGCTTGTCAATAATAATCAAATATTGCAAGTTTAATTTTAAACTTTCCGATGTTATTTATTCCACTAAATGTATAAATTATTTCCTTGACAATGAATTGTAATAAAAGTGGGATTATCAATTATAAATGACAATCGACTTAATTTTATATGAGAAAAGAAAAAATTTATTTTGATAAAATAATTAATTTTTTATTTTAGAGAAACTAATTTGTGAATTTTTTTTTTTATAGATCGCAACAATATATACAGATGCACTTTGAAACGAGTACAGGAAACAAAGATAATTAATAACAGCCTCTTGTGGGTTATCGATTCACTTTTAGTCTATACCACACTCACAACTGCAAAAGCACTGAACAGATTTTACTCATCTGCCAGTTTTATACGTAAGAATCGATAAATTATTTGATATGTGACTCCACCAGAAAAGCCACGATTTTAATTAATTAATTTTTTTTTATTTTTATTTTACTTTAAATTTCTAGGATCAACGCTTCTTTTTCTATTTTTGCATTATTACGCTTCATTTTCTCTAAAAAGAATTTTTCATATGAACCAAAATCTCACAATTAAATTATAAAAATTAATTAATATAAAGTACACTAATTGTTGATTATAAAAAATTTTTAATTCAGAATGAAATTGCAACTTTAAATTTAAAAAAAAATAAATCATATAAATATGAATATCATTGATCTACTGATATTCTGTGCTACTAACACAATGACTTTATTGATAACCTCAGTTGGAAATTTAAGTTCAATCATTACTTTTCCTCAATTTCATTTGAAAGAACAAGTCATGGTCATTTCTTTGCCAGAATTTAATACGAGGATTTTCATTTTTTTGCAATTTCTCAATAAAATGTAATAATAAAAATAAGATTGACCTAAAGAAGTTTCTTGACCTGCTCATCGTTGTTTTAGAATTCCGAATGTATAACAAAAAAAAAAATTCTTCATTAAGAATCAATAATTGTCAATCTTTGACTTGTTCAATATTAATCTGCATAGGAATAACAGATTAAATGTGACTATTTTATTATTATAACAATGAAACTTCGCCAGGAGAATGTAATAATAAATCATTTTCCGACTTCCGCGTGATAAACGATATTAATAATTAGAGTCATACAACTGTTACAGTTTTTTTAATCTCACATGGGAAAAATCTGCGATAATAATTGCAAAAAAATTTTTTTGATAACAATTAAACTATAAATATAATAAGAAAATTTCTTTGACTCATTGAAATTTTTGTTGATTTATTTCATTGGGAAAAATTTCTTTGACATAGAGTAATTTTTTTATTTTTCACAATAAACATTTTTTTTAATGATAAATAAAAATTTGATTAATAGAAAATATTAAAGTGAAATTCGGTTGAATAATTGAAGAATAATAAACAAAAATGTAAAAAAAAATATGAAGGAAACTTTTAAACGACAAAAGCATATATATATATAATTTTTTTTGAATGATTCTGACATTTCAAATATCATCGTTCAAAGGAAGAAAAGTTCGGTGACCGTTGACATATGTTTATAAAGAGCAAAAATCTCTTTTGACTTATAGTGACGCATCAACCTTGACCTCGTCACACATGACCCTTTCTCACACCTCTTTCTCATCATTTCTTTTGAAAAATTATTTCTGTCTCTTTTATTTTCTGCTACTTTAACCGCCTTTTCACTCATAAAAAAAATACATCAACTACATTCAATCGATATGCAAAGAGAGTATGAAAATAGATAGGTTATTTCTCTATTAATATTATTATTTTTGGATAAATGCGCGCATAAAAAAAATATATATATATATAAAAAATAATAAAAAATCTAATAGTCACTTTTATTTATCATTTCTCAATATATTAATTATGAAATTAAATACTCAGATGTCAATTATTTTTTTTCTACATAAAAAGAAAAATTAAAAAATAAATTTTTTTAAATTAAAAAAAAATAAATAATAACAAAAAGAAGTAGTCAGGGTTATGAAATAATCAGACATTGTCGGATGCAAGCGTAAATTCGACTACTTATGGCATTTGCAGCAAAGATAGAAAACTGCAAAATTAAAATTTGTATTCTATGAAAAACTATAAAAATTAAAACAACTTTATCAATGTTAAATGTGAAAGATATCTTTCTAATTTACGAAAAATTATTATTTATTTATGTAAATTATGTTGACAGTCATTTTTTTTCAAGATTTTGGACCCGTGTCACGGTATTTTACATAGAAAAACACATTACGTCACATTTGGTAAAAAACATTATTTGTGAACGTTCTATAAACAATACCTTGGCTTTGAATATGGTTTTTTTGTTTTTTTTGGAGTAAACTGGTTTTTTTCTCAATTTCAAAGTATTTAAGAGTTCAATAATGTCTTTAAGAACTCAGATGAAATTTTATTTTTGAAGAAGAATTAGATACTTTCTATAATAAAAAATGATCCAAATGCATAAAATTTTTTTAATGATAATTCCCTCTATTTTTGTGAATTGTGAACAAAATTTAGACAATCCCAATTACATTTATCTTTACAATTCTGCACGGACTCTGTACTCTCGATTTTTTAGTAAGTTTCATTATTAAAAACACAGAAACAATCCTTTCCAATTGTTTTTTTTTTCTATTTTAATTAAAATCCAAAAAAAAAAATTTTTTTATTTAATATAAAAAATTATTTACTAGATAAGATAATATAAATTTGAAATAATTTATTATTTTATTTATAATATAGTTAATAAAAATGAATTGGGAAGATATTACAAAGATGCTGAGAAAGCAGGAATTCTCCAGCCACGTATACCTGACAATGTACCTTTCCCCTGTAATCTTACAGGTGAATTTTTTCATATTTAATCTTAAAATTTTTTTTATAAAATTATTTTGCAAAAATTATATAATCAAATAATTGTCAATAATTTATATTAATATAATGTTATATTTTTAAGGTGCGAGGTCAAAAAAAGTGCCATCATCTATTCATAAATTGAGACCAGGTGATATTGACGTAATTGGAGCAATTGGAGATTCTATAACCGCAGGGATGGCTATGCTTTCAACAAATCCTATTCATTTATTTTTGGAAAATAGAGGATCAAGTGCGATAGGTGGAGGTCAAAATTCTTGGCGAAAATATTTAACACTTCCGAATATTCTCAAGGTAATATATAATTAAAGATAAGAAATTTTAAAATTATAATTTTTTTTATTAATTTTATAATTAATAATAAATTGAAAATTTTACAGGAATTTAATCCAAATTTAATTGGCTATTCACAATCGGATTCTTTTGAATTTGATGCATCGTCTGAATTTAATGTCGCTGAAGCAGCTGCATTTTCAATTAATTTACCAACAATGAGTCGAACATTGATAGAAAAAATGAAAAATCATTCAAAAGTTGTCATTAAAAAACATTGGAAGGTTAGTTAATTAAAATTACATTAAAGAAAATTTTATTCGTAGAGCATGAAAAATTATATATATATATATGCTTTATAGATGATTTCGATTTTTATTGGATCAAACGATTTTTGTACCTTGATGTGTTATTTACCATCACCGTGGTCAATTTTAAAAAATCACAAGAAAAATTTGATACAAGCTTTACGATTGCTTCGTGATAATTTACCAAGAACTTTTGTGAATTTAATTCTACCTCCTAATTTGAAAATCATAAGTTTTATGAGAGAAAGATTACTTTGTGATTTATATTCGAAAATTGTATGTTCTTGTCTATTTGGACAAAGATGGCTCAAAAGGAGAGAAGAATTTTTTGATATTATGACTAGGTATTGTTTTTTCAATAATATTTAATCTCAAAATTTTTCTTAAAAACTCTAATTCTTATGTTCAGTTCAATAAAAATTAATCAAAATATTTTGAAAATAATATGAGAGAAAAATAAAGATAATTTAATTAATTAATTTTCAATATTTTTTAGATATCAAGAGATAGAAAAAGAAGTAGCTCAATATTCAGAATTTCAAACTGAAAATTTTACTGTTGTAGCACAACCGTTTTTGGTAAATTTAACGTTACCTTCGAAAAAAAGTGGCTCTATTGATTTAAGTTTTCTTGCAAATGATTGCTTTCATCTCAGTCAAAAGTCAAATGCTCGAGGTAAAATTTAGACAATTATTAATTAATAAAAATAATTAATAATTTTAGTTATAATATTTCTAAAAAAAAAGGAAACAAAAATATTTTAAAAATATGTTTAAGCTGCTGTGGCTATTTGGAATAATTTAATGGAACAAGAAGGACAAAAGTCAATGAACTGGGGTGACACTTTTAAAAGATTTATTTGTCCAACTGTGAAAAGGCCTTATTTTGCCACATGGAAAAATAGTAGAAAATGAAAATTATAAATTTTCAAAAATAGGTACTTAAATTAAAATATAAAGTAATATATATTAATAAATTATTAAAATTGAAAAGTGATATAGTTCTTTCTTAAAATTACAAATTTATACTGCAATAGAGAAATTATTTTCTCATAAGAATAACAATTAAAAGTATTTTTTTTAACTCTTCAAAAAAAAAACTTCGCAAAGACAAGAAAATAAAAAATATTTTACCGAATTTTTATTTGCGGTTTTAAAATCAATATTCCCAGATACTGACAATATAAAACCAAATGCGTAACACGTGTGTTTTTATCCCTCTACTGAATTTTAATGTACAGAAAATTTGCCTTCTGCAAAACATTAAAATAATGTTTGACGTGTTGGTATTTTAATTATTCATGAAAACAAAGACAACGAACATGTGTTATTATTTTATTATTCTATTCTTCTATCATTTAAAGGAAGTTAAAATATTATTTCATCAAAAATGCTTTTTAAAAAAAGAATTATTTTATTTCTTCTTTAAAGAATTTTTGTTTTAAAATATTTAAAGTACTTTTTTTCCTTAAAGAAATTTTTTTTTTTTTTAAATATTAATAAACACTTGCGTTAACTCCAAATTTATAATCAGATATACAAAAATGCAGATAAATTAAATTTTTATACTGTTGTCACGATTCAACTTTTTTTTTTTAAACTTGTTATTGAAACTTTTTTTTTTATATTAAGGATAACAAAAATTTTTCTTGTTAATTAAAGTAAGTGTCATCTTCTAAAATAATTTAATTATAAATAATTTTTAATCGTTTTATGATTGCAATTTTTTATGTTTAAAAATTATATACCAATATTGAGTCTATAAGACTATTAAAATTCTATTAAAAGAATTTATTTACATTATGAAATGCAAATTAACATTCACTATAATATAAATTATAAATTGGCAAATTGTGAATGAAGAATATTTATACACACAAATTTCTGAAAAAATATTTATTAATTTATAAACAATAATTATTTTTAATGCGATAAATATTGACTTTTGTCTCAATATTCCTAGTATAAAGAAATAGTTATGAAATATTTAATTTTTTTATTATTTAATTATATGAAAAAAAAAAAATTTTAATTTGTTTATTTTTAAATCAAATTATTTTAACTTTTAAAATTAAATCCGCTCTATTTGAATGATTTAAAAAAAATCTTTATTTTAAAAGTGTGAAAATATAAAATTCATCACATAAAGAATGAGAATTTGCCGTGTGTATATATGTACAAGAAGTTGAAGTTTAGTTCTTTTTTAGCGTATGATCAATAATTAGTGGTTTCCTATAGAAAAATTTTAGCGCCATTCGAAGAACTGGTATTATAAGAAGCTTGTTTTATGATAATAAAGAATTTTGCCGGCCTTGGAATAAGGCTCAGTCAGTAGTGGTACAGCAGTGGTGGAACACATCAAGGTTCATGATCCTTTAATCCATCTGCATTTTATTTTTCCTTCTTGTGCTATGTATTTCGAAATAACCGCGATGTCAGAATACATCCTAAGCAACAGACTGAATTCAACCACCTTCCGATTTGGTGCATTCAAAGGGATTAATTATAATAATAATAATAATAATTTGTGTATTAAAAAAACTTAAAAAATTTAATTTTTATTATTATTATCATCATAATGAGAAAATTTATTATTGTGATTTTTTATCTAATTGTGCAAATTTTATATGTAACAAGTAGAACTCAAAAAACTGCACTCGATTCACAAGAAAATATTCGTACATGGCAAAATATTCGTGCCTTCTTTTCCAGTATTAATAGTGAGTATATATATATTTTTATTAATATAATTATAATATAATAATAGAATTAACAATTAAAATTTCATTGATTTTTATTTTGTCGATTAAAAAATTAATTGTTTATTGAAAAATTATTTTTCAATTAATTAATTGAATTAATTGATAGATTAATTTATAAAGTGTTAAATTTATTAATTAAAAATCATTTATAATTAGTTTCATTTGTATATTTTAATTATTTATTGAATTGATTTTCTTTGTAAATATATGAGTTACTTCAAATTCTAGATTACTAAATTATATAAATGTCCGGTTTTGCTTTTCTCAATGTAATTTAATCAAATTTAGGAATGTGCGCGAACTCACTTATTTTCTTTTGTATTAAAATCACAGCTTTCTATTTAATCCATTTAAAAATAAATCTTGACTTTTAAATGAATTTTTAATATCGAAAAAAAGTTAAAAATTTTTTTTTTTTGCAAATATTTTGTAATGATTATGAAATTATGATTTATAAAATATAAAGAGCAAATGCTTTTCCTTTTATTGAAAATATTTTCAAACAAATAAATGTAAACTATAATGAAATTTAATTTAATTTATGTTTCAATTATAATTTTTAATTAAAAACGTTTAAAGATTAAATTTTGAAAAAATTAAAGATATAGAAATAATTTGTTTGTTTGTTAGATTCTTCAATTAAATTAATAATTTATTTTTAATCTAATAAATGAATTTAAAAAAAAAAATTTATTTACAGCTCTTCCAGCAAGAAGCCAGAAAATACTGCAACGTGCACGGAATGCACGACGGCTACAGGATCGAGTTCCAGATTATGTACCATTTCCATGTGATGTAAAAGGTAATTTTTTTTTTTTTGTTTAATCAAATATCTTAATAATTTTGTAATACAGAAAGAAAAATGTTTTTTTCTTCTGTATTTTTAATTTTTTAATTAAAAAAATATAAATTATTATTACAGTAATTAATAATAATTTAATTATTAAAATAATATTTTTAATTAAAGAATTACAAAAAAAATTATTATTTATATTTAAAAAAAGAAAAGTAATTTTTCTTTTTATTTTTGAAGGTGGAAGATCTCCGGTTATACCAAATAGTGTTCATAAATTAAGGCCCGGTGATATTGACCTGATTGGATCATTGGGAGATTCATTAACAGCAGGATTAGGTATTTTCGCAACAAAACTTGTAGAATTACTCACCGAAAATCGTGGTGTGAGTGCCACTGGAGGGGGTCAAGGTTCTTGGCGTGAATTTCTTACAATTCCTAATATCCTTAAGGTTCGACAATTGATTTTTACCTGTAAAAAAAAAAATTTGCAAATATTTATTTAATTAACATTTTTCATTTCATTATATTTATTTTTATTTCAAATTAAATTATAACTACAATAAAAGTAGAATCTATAATTAATAATTAAATAATTGAATTCTTTAAATTTTAGGAATTTAATCCCAATTTAATAGGGTATGCCGTCTCGGATTCTTTATCATTTCAAAGTGGATCGAAATTTAATATAGCAGAATCTGGAGCTATATCCGGTGATATGCCCTTCATGACGGAACAACTAATTCGAAGAATAAAAAACGATTCAAGAGTTGATATTGAAAAACATTGGAAGGTAAGAAAAAAAAATGATTGAAAATTAAAATTAAAAAATTTTCTATTAGAAACACTTGTTCAATTTACACCTTAAAAAAAAATAATAACAATTTCTCCTTGTGACAATTTTTTTCTAAATTTAAAAAAAAGAAATAATCATATAGTTCTACGATTGTAAAATAAATATAGATCAGACAATTTTTTACTACCAAGTAAAGGATACACTTATTATATTTATTACAGTAAAAAAAAAGTTAAGTAATTAAAATACGAAACTAAAAGTTCTATTCTTGACCCCATTGTCAATAAAAAAAAAATAAATAATTCAAACTATTAAATTTTTTACTAAAAATAAAAAATCAACTAATATTCTAGATAAAAAAATTTATAATATGATAAAAATAAATATAATGAAAAAAATTCATTTTTTTTTTCCAGTTAATATCGCTGATGATTGGAGCAAATGATTTTTGTTCTGAAATGTGTTATCTCCAATCACCCTGGACAATAGTAAAAAATCATCGAGAGGATCTTTTAGAAACATTAAGAATTCTTCGTGACAATTTACCACGAACACTTGTCAATATTATTCCGCCACCACATTTAAAAACACTTTTTAATATTAATAATAAACCACCAATATGTGAATTAACAACAAGCTTCTCTTGTCCATGTATTTTTGGTTTAAGATGGCGAAATCAACACGAAGTCTTTTACGAAATAATGACAAGGTTGAAAAAAAAAAAATTATTTATTAGTTTATTAAATCAATATTCAAATCAATGGACAAATTTACTTATAAATATTTTTCTCTAACATAGATTTCAGAACATTGAAGAGGAAATTGCACAATACTCAGAATTTCAAAGAAACGATTTTGCTGTGATTGTTCAACCATTCACGACTAATTTATCATTTCCAATCGGAAAGGACGGTAATTTTGATCTCAGTTATTTATCAGCTGATTGTTTTCACATCAGCCAAAAGGCAAATGCCAGATGTAAGTTAAAAAATCACAATTTTATTTTTAACATATAATTTTTAACGAATTATAATATAAATTGAACATGATGTTTATATTTTTTTTTTCAAATTAAAAATATTTAATTTTTTTTTTTTATTCCCAATTTTGAATAATTTGAGTAAAATTGATTAAATAATTCATTTTTCATATTTATAGTTATTTGATAAAACAAATCTTTTTTTGAGGAAAATTATAAGAAAAAAATAAATTTTTATGAATTTTAGGTTTGACTTACTACTATTTGAAGTTTAAAATCACTTTTTCATATAAAAACAGATAAAAATGATTTTTTTTTTTTTTGTCAAGAAGAAAAAAAAATCAACTTTTTGAACTTGATGTAGGAAATGTAAAAAAAAAGTCACTTTTTCCTTGTCAGCTCTTTTATAATGTGTCAAGTTTCCTCAATTTTTGTTTATATTTTATACGTAAATTAAAAGCGTATATATTAATGAAAATATTGTTTTAGGCACAAATGCAATATGGAATAATATGTTTCTTCCGCCTGACGAAAAAATACGTGATTGGGATGAACTTTTTAAGAATTTTGCATGTCCAACAACAAAAACACCATATATAGCAACATGGCAAAATAGCCAAAAAAAATTTGGAAATTATTAATAGAAAAAAAATTTCTAGCTGCTTTTAAAATATCATCTTCATAATCATCATTTTTAGTATTTTATAATTTTTTTTTTTTTTTTTTATAAAAAAAACAATCATTTCATGTAAATACACTCATTATTTTCACTTAATTCATTATTCAATTTAATTGAGCTTCCGGATCCTAAAAGGGCACACCGCTCGTATTTGCATAAAAAATTTGCTTCCTGGTATTAAAATTTGGAAATTATTCAAATGTCAGATTTTAACTGTTGACTCTTATCATTGGAATTTGACATTGAAAATTTCAAAATTTTAAAAACAGAAGCAAAATGTTGTTATGCAAATTTGAAAATGTGTCCTTTTAAGATTTAGAACCTGAATTAATTGAATATAGTAATAATTAAATTATTAAATTCACAACTCGATTCTCAATAAACCGGATGTTTTTTTAGAGGTTTTCTGTAGTTTTCCTCTCCCCTGGCCAGGCAAATGCGAGTGTTTCTTATAAAAGTCGGTTTATAGCCGAAAAAATTTAACAGTTTGTCAATTACCTTTGTAAGGTTTAATAGAGTTGTGAGAAAATTGTAAAGACCCCTAAGGTATATACAATGAAATCAATATTAATTAATTAATTAATAAAAACCATTAGAAGTAAATTATTAAAATATCCAAAGTTCTTATATAAAAAAAAAAAATATTTAAAAACTAATTATTGCAAAAAATTATAATTGAAAAAAAAAAAATAAAGAAATTTGAAATATTTTTTGTTAATTTATTTCGTTACGAATCAATTAAAAAATTGAGTGCTTTCATATATAAAATTATAATTGTTTAAATTTGCACACTTTCGATTTTTGAAGTAGAAAAGAAATACCGCGCTCGTTGGAAAGAAAAAAAAAATTTTTTTCAATACACATCACGTTTAAATGCAATATGCACTCTCTTGAATCTTAATAAATTCTTTCTATATAGTTATATCGAGGAAGCTAATAGGTACTGTTATTTAAATCCAAATTATTTGCATAAAAAAAAAAGTCCGTAATATTACATATATAGAATACCGTAAAAGTAAAAGTTTAAAAAAAAAAAAAAAAAAAGAAACACCAAAATATTTGATTCAAAATTTTAAATCATATATTTTTTCATTATTTATTTAATTAAATTATATTATTATTTCTATTATTATTATTATTATTATTATTATTATTATTATTATTATTAACAATTTAATTAGTAAATTGTAATGGAATATTTAAAAAAAAAAACACAAGAAAATATCTTTCAAAAATTGGGAAATATAAGGAAGTCCTTTTAATTTTCAATGTTAAAAAAATATTTCATTATAGATATAATAAAAATAAATAAATAAATATTTATATATTCTATTTTGAATATATAAAGAACACATGAATTTTATCCGATTACGCAATTATCTCACAAACATATAAAGTGGGGGATCCCTTAAGAGAATCGATGTCTCTTCTTGTCGTCGATGCTTCATTCAGTTTTCTATCCAACAATCTCCCAGGCGGTTTATATAAATTGAATGAAACGTGACAATCAGTTTTTTTACTATAAAATAAATAATAATCTCGTAAATCGGAATCATTAATTAATCAAAAAAAACAATTACATACATAATTAATAATAAAAAATATTTAAAAAAGTGTTATAACAAATGAAAAAAAAATGTAACCACTTTTTTACAACGGAATCATATAAAAAAATTTCCTAACAAATAAAAACTGTAAGTGTAGAAAAAAATATATCTAATTTTTCTTTTCTTTAATAAATGGTCCTACAAATTATTTTGATTTTACAAAAATTGTAATTTTATTTTATAATTCAATTTTTTTAATTTAAAGTTTAAAATAACGTAGATTATAATTTTCCATTTCTTTTAAATTACTTTTTAATATTAAACTATAATTAATAGTTCAAAAATAATAAACTGTTTTTTCAATAATGTGGATTATTTTAATAATAATTTTGATAATTAATAATAATAATAATAATAATAAAAGAAATTATTTTTATTATGATAAATAATGAGGTAAATATTTAAATTATTATTGACATAAAAATGAAAAATTGAAAGCAGTGGGTCATTGTGCGCGTGTAAATGATGAGTGTTATATATTCAAATTCAAATTGTAAATTACGGAAGAATAGTTATTTCCTAGTTGTCGTTTGTGTTTATATGAATTATCGGCAATCACATCACACTTTGCATTTGGTACTTGACATCCGAACTTAGACTCAAGGGAAAGTGCATGGCCATATATAGAAAGACTTATAACATTATATATAGAATCTACCACGAGAAGGAATTGCAGTTTGTTTACACATAACATAAATTTCGAATCCTATTTTTTTATATATATATAAAATGTCAAAAACTTAAAATATAAACATATACAAAAATATTCATCTATTATTTATGAAAATATTTTCATATAATCCAACTTTTAATTTATTAATTGTAAATAAAAATTTCTAAAAAACAATTTGATAGTAAAAAAATTTTAATTTGTTAATTATAAAAAAAAATAAAATTTTTCATTCAATTATTTATTATAATAAACTTTCTTCGGTAAATAAATATTTGAAAGCCAAGAAGATAAAATGTGCAATTTTTTTTTTACACTAATCTGAAAATATATTTAATGTAAAATATAAAATGTAATTTAGAACGTATAAATTTTGTCTTTCGACATCTCATTCTCTTTTTTTTTCTCCTGAGATGACATTCTTTTTATAATTTACCTACATGTTACGAAATAATTACGAAATTTGAGGTTGAACGTTTTTTGCGATTCAAGGATGAAATATAGTATTATATATAGTGAGAGAGAGAAAGAAAGACGAAACAATGTATGTGTGTGCAAATTTCTAGCTTTTAAAATGTTATCGATATATTTCGGATCATATATATATATATATACTCGCCTCACTTGGAAAGTACACGTGTCGCGAATTATAATCATTAAAATGTCAAGTTTCAGATCGCCAAATTACAGTTTAGAAAGCAAATACAAGAAGTGATGCCAAAAAGAATCCCTGCCGGTTAGAAATTTGATGGAAAAAAAAATCGCGATTATTTGTACATAATATTATAATAATTTATTCATTTTTTATCTTGAAGATTGATATTTTATATGCGGAAAAAAAATATATTTTATACAACATTGTTAATGTTATATCATTCCTAGAAATATCCTTTTCTTTATATCAAATCATAAAATGCAAATAAAAAAAATTATAAAATAATAAAAATTTTAAATTAAAATTTTCTTTTTCTCAAATACTTCTAATATTCAAAGGCTTAATTTTTCTGTGATATTATTAAATCACAAAATTTAAGAAAAAAAAAAACATTTGAATATTAAAAAAATATTACGATTTAATAAAAATTAAATTATTCAAGGAGTATTTATAATTTCGCGAATTTATAATTGCGCGACAAGACTGAAATCGTATGAAATTTGTAATGAGGAAATGACCTTTAACCTTCTTTTATAATTACCAACTGTACAACTTTTAAATAAACTTTCTATTAAATTCTGTCTTTTAAGTTCAACTGGATTGCTTTGACAATTTAAACGTATATTTATTTTATCATTATTAACCAAATTTTTATTTGAAAAAAAAAAAATATATTTTTCGATTTAACATGAAAATAAATATTTTCTTTTTTTACACAGATTGAATATTTTAAAATGAGAGCAGTGGAAAAGTGAAGAAAAAAAAATATATATATTGGTACATTCATTAAATGGAGCGTTGTGGAAAGAAAAAAAGACGGAGAAGAAAACTTTTATGACAATACGATATGAGGAATCACATTTTTCAAATTTACTTAATAATAATTTTTCATTTTTATCAAAATCATGCAGCTACATTTTCCGACGTAATTTATCAATTATTTCAAACGGCCAGGGTAAGTGGATTTTTATTTTTTTTTTTTTTGAAAACTTGAATTTTCATTTACTATTTAATAATATAAAAAAAATTTTCAGGAGGATACTTTAGAAAATGGTATATTTTATCCTAAAGCTGAAAATGATTTACGAAGACAACCAAAAATTCCACGAGAAATTCCATTTCCCTGCGATTTACGAGCAGGAAGGTAAAAAAAAATTTTTTTTTGAATAAAAAAAAATAATTTTTAATATCAGTAATATTTTTTTTTTTAATTTTTTACGCAAGGTCCTCAACACCACCTTTAAGTGTTCATAAATTGAGACCAGGTGATATTGATGTTGTTGCTGGTTTAGGAGATTCTTTGATGTCCGCAAGTGGTGCAATGGAAGAATATGCAATTGGTGCTTTTATTGAAGCTCGGGGTGTAAGTTGGTGTATTGGTGGTCAGGGTGATTGGAGAAATTATTTAACAGTGCCAAATATTCTTAAGGTATTAAAAAAAAAAAAAAATTAAAAAATTTAATATACATTGAAAAAAAAATTTATTTGATTCAAATACTCGAGTATTATCAAATAAATATTTTTATTTGAACCAAATAATTTTTATTTGAATTAAATAAATTGTATTTGAACAAATAATTTTTGTATTTCAAACAAATACCATCTCAAATATTAATTATTTGATACAAATAAATATTTATTTGATAATAGTCAAATAATCGAGTATGTATTTGAATCAAATAAATTTTTTTTCAGTGTAATTAAATTCTTTAGAAAGAAAATAAAAAAATTTGAAATAAAAATTTAATTTAATTTACTTACAGGTTTTTAATCCAAATTTAACAGGATACTCCACGGGAACCGGTGAATTTATTTCAAATAAAGCGAGACTTAATGTTGCATTTCCTGTTGCTGCCACAATAGATAGTTTTCATCAAGCCAAAATTCTAGTTAACAGAATGAAGAACAATCCCAGTATTGATATTAAAAAGCATTGGAAGGTATCTGAAAAAAAAATAATTTGTAAAAACTTATTTTTTTTAAAAAATCAATTTTTTAAATATTTTATTTATATTTCTATTTTTACAGATGATAACAATATTTTTTGGAGCAAATGACATTTGTTCTGCTCAATGTTTTAATCCTAAGGATTTCTCGCCATTAAAATATTCACTATATTTAAGGAGAACTCTAGACTTTCTTAGAGAAACACTACCTCGTACTCTGGTGAATTTAATGCCAGCAATTGGTGGGAAAATAATTTTTTTAATTTTTTTGTTTTATTTTTACAAAAATAAAAATTTTTTCAATTTAATAAAAATAATTATTATTAAAATATAAAATAATTAAAATTTTTTTTTCTAGATGTTACCGTATCTCTTAGAACATATCGAAGTACAATGTGCAATATTTTACATCCTCTTTATTGCTCTTGTTTGCATCAAGGAAAACGTGCAGATATTTCCACTTCAAAAATGTCACAAATGTTTCAACAAACTGCTGAAGCTTTAATCGCATCTGGGAGGTATAATATTTTTAATAAAAATTGTTCAACAACTTCTTTTCAAAAAAAAAAAAAAAATTGAAATAAAATTTTTCCAGATACGACACAACTGATGATTTTACTGTGGTCTTGCAACCATTTATAAAATTGTTTAATTCCCCAAAATCAAATCCAAAAAATGCACCTCCAATTGATCCCTCTCTAATTACTCACGACTGCTTTCATTTTAGTCAAAAAGGACATGCACTTGGTAAGTTGTTTTTTTTTTTAATAATAAAAATAAATTTACTATTCTAATTATTTTTCCTAATTTAATGAAATTTAAGTTACAGCGCCTTTAAATATGCAACCAAACATACAACAGAATATTGAGAAGATGCATTCAGTTTAATTATAAAAATAATATAATAGAAATATTTTTTTAATCTGATAAATAAAAATTAAATATTATAATCTATTCAATAAATTGCTGTCAAATTACAATTAAAAATATATTCTAAATAAAATATTGTTTTTACTGACAAAAACTTTGCCGTGAAAATGGTTGCATATTACAGGCGTTTGATTTTAAATCTACATTAAAATATTTTGAAGAAAAAACAAGATAAATTATTTTCTAGCTGCAAATCTTCTTTGGAATAATATGTTGGAACCAGTTGGAAATAAAACAGAAATAGGATCACCGAAAATTTTTGAAACAGTATTGTGTCCTAGTAAAGAAAAGCCATATATCTTTACAAATATTAATTCGAAAGTTTATTTTTTACATGAAAATTAAGATAAGGCTTTCTAAATGTATAATTTATTTTTTTTACTTCTCTCTATGTTTGAAAATAAAATTTATATATAATATTTTAAAATATTAATTTAAAATTATTTTAACATGTCCGCTAATTTTTAAAAACTTAATCGAGAACAATCGATATATATCGAAAATATTAAATCAATAATAATTTCAAACTTTTTTCGCAAAAAAAATAAAAAAGAAAATAAGTTTTTAAGATTAATAAACACATAACTTTATTAAAACAATTTCAATGAGAAAGAAATAAATTAAGTATTAATCTATTTTTAATGAAAAAAGGGAAAAAGTATCAAAAATCTAACCTCTAAAAGTAAGAAACAACACTCGAATACAGAGATAACTAAAAAGAAAAGTTCTTGACTATTAAAATAATAATTATTAAATAAAACACTTTTTATTAATTTTATTCTACTACTATAATTATTTAATTATCACTATTAAATAATAATTTAGTACTATTTTTCACTTTTTTGTTTCTCTATTACGATATTTAAATTTAAATTTCGCGCTAGTTATCTGATCACATGACTAAACACGTGACTATTGCAGAAGAAAAGGTTCGACCTCAAGTGCAAGTAGTTTGTAATAAATTTCATTACATATTTTTTGGAATTTCAGTGATAATTCATTTATTAATTTATGATGTGACATGAAATTATAATACTCTAAATCTTTATAAATGAAATCTCTTGGAAAAATATTAAGAAATATGTGAAAATAAATTGTATGAACTAAAACTAACCTTAATACGGTGATAGTTTTTTTTTTGCCAAATGTTGAACCGTTTGAACACCAGTGAATTAACAACAAATTGAAATGTCTCTTGTCGATTTTTTTGTGCAATAAACCATGACCAATCAAGGAGGAAAAAAAAGTTTTTTATAATTTAAATGTGTTTCTAGTGTAAATACAAAAAATAGTTTTATTATTTTAAGAGATAGAAAAACTTTTAGTGATTTGCTTATATAGACACATGGTGAATCTTTTGCCTTTGCATTCTCCATGTTGCTTTTGAAGGGCTAGAGGGGAAAGTATCTAAGCATGAATCGGGGCAGTTGCCCGTGCGCGAAGCTACGTGTAAGAACAGAAGTGTCGTATGTCGTGCTCCTCTTCTTTCGTTTATTGTCCTCTTATCATTGATAAATACAAGCAGAGCCAAATCATGGCTTCATTAAAAACTCTTCGCATCAGGATCTTCCAATTAATACCAGAGTAACATTTAATTATTTTTTTTTGTGTGTGTGTCGTGTATAGCGTTTTTTGTGTGTATAGTGTGTTTAAAAAAAAAAAAAAGAAAAGGTGCGCCACCGTCCTTTCTACGAGGACGAATCATGGGATCTAAGTTTGATGGACACACTGCTTTTGAATCTCGTTTTGGGACATATCTACGAAAAGACATGAGCGAAAGGAGTGACTCGGATTTTCAATTTACAAGTCCACCGGAGGCTCCAGTCTTTGAGCCCACTGCCGAGGAGTTCCTGGATCCATTGGGATACATTGCCAAGATTCGTCCAATTGCTGAAAAATCGGGAATCTGCAAGATTAAACCTCCTCCTGTGAGTTTTCCCTTTAAAAAAAAAAAAAAAAAAAAAAAATTCAATGTTTTCAATTGATTTTATTTTTACTTTAAGTAAATGAAATCAATGTCTACTCCTTTAAGGGAAAGTGCACAGAGGGTCGACCAAAAAAAAAACTGTCGATCGTCTTTTTTCGTTCAACGACCTCAATATTCGTAACATTTACCACCGACGCACTGTAAAATTTAATCCAGGATTTTTTTTTTTTAATTTGTGACCTATCTTTTTGGAAATATATTCAATTTTTATATTGGCTAATTCAAGGGTTGCATTGCGTCTTATTCAGCGAAATTTGACAAAAATGATATTTGAATATTATTTCTAATTACATCATGAAGAATAATTGAGAAATTTGTAGCTTTTTAAAAGGCATTAAAAATATGAAACTCGTGGGTGTAAATCAATCATTGAAGTCTGTATATGTGACAATTTGTCACAAGTTGAAAGAATAGAAAAGAAATTTTTGAAAAATAAATATCAAAGAATTTTTTAGTGAATTAATTTTAAATTTATAAATTTTAAATAGTGTATATTTGGAGGGATTTTCATTTCTATTTCTAACAGTGAGAACTGTATATAGGCAATACTGGAAGGTACGCCATGCAGTTTGTCGTTGTTGAAACGATAAAATGGCCGGAACACTAAGAATTATATGTTATACGCTGATTGGGAAATGATTTTCCCGTTACTAATTTTGACATTTTGTCATAAATATTTTTTTTTTTTAAAATCCAATACATTCAATGATTTTATTTCTTCTAAATTGAATTTCAATGAAAAAAAAATTAATTTAAATTCCTGAAAATAATTGTCTAGATATTTAGGGAAAATTAAATTTACAAAAATTGTGTGACGTAAATAATAATATTGATGACACTTGTGTGTTTTACTTCTTTATAATTTCGTAACAGTTTTTTTTTTCTTTTGCAAAGTGTTAATTACAAAGAAAAAGAAATTACAGCCAATATAATATATAAAAAAGTCGCCATGTTTTTAGGATCATTCTTTTTTTTTCTTTTTTTTTATTAATAAATTGAAATTTTTAATTATTCATGAGATTCGTTATATTATGATGAAATAGTTTTGCCATAATCGAATCCATGATTATGTAATACATAAATAATTGCTATATCAAATAACGAGAACTAAAGTCATTGTGTTTGTAGGCAATGGATAGCGTCGTTTGCATGTACATCATATATACGCCATAAGTTTATATGATAGTAAATTTAATTATAAAAAAAAATAGTTAATTTCAAAAGTGTATATATATATTCTTTTAAAGTTTCACTAAAAAAAAACAAAAAAAGAAAAATATAACAAAAAAAATGACAAGATTTTATAGAATTCGTTTAATTATAAACAAATAGGCTAATGTCAGATAACAAAATTAAATAGTCTCATCGATCGTTTATATGAAAGTCTGTTCCAAAATACGTCAAAGCTTTAGTAAGAAAAGTGCACTCCATTATGAAACCTTTCAATTATTTCCATCATTTATTTTATTCTTAACAAATTTTTCTTACGATTGTTTAGAAATTATAAAATATTAGTGTAAAAAAAAGTTAATACTCTTTCGTTTATAAGGATACACTTTTATCAACCGATAATACCTTGACAGATTGGTTTTTTTAAATAATCTACTCTTTGATAAAACAACAATGCGTCTTAATAATTGTTAAAAAAAAAAAAATAATAATAATATCAATTTTCTTTTTTTTTTTTAAGAATAAATTTCCAAAGGTTAAAACGGAGTTTTATTATCTATTTTTTATAATATTGATTTCTATTTACCATGGGGAAATTTGAAAATGATTTTAATTTTTATTTACCTAATGTCATATGCATCTCATTTTAAAATCATTGATCTATAAATTAAATATTTAAAAATGATTTCTATTATGTTAGTTGAATTGAATATTTATTTGAATAATATTTTTTCGTTTTATATTAATTTTTTTTTCCAATTGTTTATGTGTATTTGTGTTAAATCTTAAGAGAAGGCTAAGCTACAATAAGTTTACGTAACACGTCACTACAATTAAAATGCATCACAATTCTTATATATATATAGTTTGTAAATTATTGCGAATTTTTGAAAGAAAAATCGTACCAACAATTAGTTGAATATTTTGGGAAATTTAAATAAAAATTATATTAACTAATTCGATTTAAAATTCGATTCGATAGTTTAATTCGATTCTTTAAAAAAAAATGGTATTACGTTTTTTTATTGATTTAATAAAAATGGCGAAAGTAAACTAAATTTTTTTTTTTTTTGTACTTTAGAATTGGCAACCCCCTTTTGCTGTTGACGTGGACAAATTTAAATTCGTCCCAAGGATACAAAGGCTAAATGAATTAGAGGCAAAAACAAGGATAAAACTAAATTTCTTAGATCAAATTGCTAAATTTTGGGAACTTCAAGGATCGTCATTAAAAATTCCACTAGTTGAGCGTAAAGCACTTGACTTGTATTCTCTACATAGAATAGTGACTAGTGAAGGTAGGCAAATAAACATTTATGAAAAAAAAAAATTTTATTCCAAAACAAAATTTAATAATATTTAATTTTAGGCGGAATAGAAAATGTGACTAAAGAAAGAAGATGGGCAAAAATAGCAAATAAACTTGGATATCCTTCTGGTCGAAGTGTTGGAAGTATTCTTAAAAATCATTATGAAAGAATATTATATCCCTTTGATGTTTTTAAACAAGGGAAAACTTTAAGTGATATTGTAAGTTGTGAATTTTTTTCTCTAATTGTATTTTTTTTTTTTTTTTGTTTTTAATAATTGTAATTTTTTGTAGAAAATTGAACCGGAAATCGAAGCTAATGAAAGAAAGGATCAGGATTATAAACCACATGGAATTATATCGCGACAACAAATTAAACCACCGAATGCAAAATTTTCAAGACGTTCGAAACGATTTACCGGTCAAGATGATAAACAAGATCCATTATCAATTAAACAAGAAGACTGTAAGGAAGAATGTGATTCTGATAATGAATGTAAAGAAGGCGTTAAAAGTAAAAATACATCGCCTGATAAAGTAGCGGAAAACAGTAAAGAATTGAAGAAACTTCAATTTTACGGTGCCGGTCCAAAAATGGCTGGATTTAATACCAAAGAAAGCAAAAAGTCTAACAAAACCAGAGGGATTAAACTTACCTACGAATTCGATCCGGTAAAATCAATTGATTTTTTGGAAGATAAAATTTTTGCAAAAGTAAATTGATAATAAAATAAAATTTTCATTTACAGCTGGCTAAATACATTTGTCATAATTGTGGGCGAGGAGACAATGAAGAGAATATGTTGCTGTGCGACGGATGTGATGATAGTTATCACACCTTTTGTCTTTTACCGCCTTTAACTGAAATTCCAAAAGGTGATTGGCGTTGTCCAAAATGTGTAGCTGAGGAAGTTTCAAAGCCAATGGAGGCATTTGGTTTTGAACAAGCTCAACGGGAATATACACTTCAACAATTTGGAGAAATGGCCGATCAATTTAAAAGTGATTATTTCAATATGCCTGTTCATGTACGTATTTACTTTTTTATTATTAAAAAACAAAATTTATCTCTATTTTAAATTTAATAATACATTTCTAATTTTTAAGATGGTACCAACCTCACTTGTTGAGAAAGAATTTTGGCGAATAGTATCGTCAATTGATGAGGATGTTACCGTTGAATATGGCGCTGATCTTCATACAATGGATCATGGTTCAGGATTTCCAACTAAAACAAGTGTCAATCTTTTTACATGCGATCAAGAATATGCTGAATCATCGTGGAATTTAAATAATCTTCCCGTTTTACAAGGAAGTATATTGGGTCATATTAATGCCGATATCAGTGGAATGAAAGTACCTTGGATGTATGTGGGAATGTGTTTTGCAACATTTTGTTGGCACAATGAAGATCATTGGAGTTATTCAATTAATTATTTACATTGGGGTGAACCAAAAACATGGTACGGTGTACCGGGCTCATTAGCTGAGAGATTTGAAGAATCAATGAAATCAGCGGCGCCTGAATTATTTCACAGTCAACCTGATTTGTTACATCAATTGGTGACAATTATGAATCCTAATATTTTGACAAATGAAGGTAAATATAACTTTTAATTACTTTAACTGGCTTAAGCAGAGATTAATTAATTATATATATTTAATTTAAAACAAAAGGTAAAGTGAATTAATTAATTTTTTTTTATGCAGGAGTGCCAGTATTTCGAACTGATCAACATGCGGGTGAATTCGTAGTCACTTTTCCCAGAGCGTATCACGCTGGTTTTAATCAAGGATATAATTTTGCCGAAGCAGTCAATTTCGCACCAGCCGATTGGGTATGTATTAATTTACAAAAATGGATGATTACAATTAAAAGGATTAAAAGGACAATTTATCTTTTATTTTCATTTTATCTAAAATTGTAATATGAAAACGATAGAAATTAATTTTTTGAAAAATCAAGAAAGAAAATTAACAAAATGATAAAAAAATTAATTATGAAAATTCCTTATAAGAAAATAATGTTAAAGCTGAAATGTTTTCGGTATAATGTTTTTTCTATAATATTTTCGCGATTATAGGTAATTTTTTATAAGAAATTCATTATAACATTTTTTTTTCTCAAATAATTATAAAAATATAATTATTAGAAACTCTGTAATGAAATCATTACAATTTTATAATTATGAAAATGTAATTATAGAAAATAAAATTTTTCACGTGCAAAAATTAAAATATTATAAAATTAAAATTACAAAAATTTAATTACAGAAATTAATTAATTTTGTATTTTACTGATAACTGTATATAGTTTTGTAATTTTGTATTTTACTGATAACTATGTATAGTTATCAGTAAAATACAAAATTAATTAATTTCTCTAATTAAATTTTTATAATTTTAATTTTATAATATTTTAATTTTTGCACGTGAAAAATTTTATTTTCTATAATTACATTTTCATAATTATAAAATTGTAATGATTTCATTACAGAGTCTCTAATAATTATATTTTTATAATTATTTGAGAAAAAAAAATGTTATAATGAATTTCTTATAAAAAATTACCAATAATCGCGAAAATATTATACAAAAAACATTATACTGAAAACATTTCAGCTTTAATATTATTTTCTTATAAGGAATTTTCATAAGGGAAAGTATAAATATTAAAACTAAAAAGTATTAATATTAAAAAAAAAAAAATAATTTTCATTGAAATGATAATTAATTTTCTGTTATTTTTTTTTTGTGTTTACAAAATAGTTAAAAGTGGGAAGAGAATGCATTTCACATTATTCGAATTTGAGAAGGTTCTGTGTTTTCTCACATGACGAATTGGTCTGCAAAATGTCTTTAGAACCCGATACATTAGATATTGGCGTTGCTACATCAACTTATCACGATATGTTACAAATGGTAGATGATGAGAAAAAATTGCGAAAAAATCTTCTTGAATGGGTAAGTTTAAAAAAAATTTAATAATTCAATTGATTTTTAAATTTAACATCAAATAAAATAATAAATAGTAACTACTTAATTATTATTATTAATTAACTTTTAAAAATTGCATTATTAGCTTCTATTATTTTTTTTACTTTGCTACAAGTATAAAATTTGTTTTCTTTTTCAATCGATCGACTTTTATTTAAAAATTAAAAGAAAAGAAAAAGAACGATAATAATTACTATTTTCGATTTAAGTGTTAATTTATCAATAATAAAGTATTAAAATACAAAAATGATTATTATTGGAATTTTCTGGTTGGCAATATAATTTTTCAAGTAAAAAAAAATATTTCTTGGCATTTTGTGTTTTTTTTTAAAAAAAAGAGTTCACTAAACTGTAGATTTTGAATACAATTCGCGGCGTTGTGATTGTGGAGAAATGGCGGGAGTTAGGATGAATAGACTGTAGCTTATAACATAAAAAGGGCAATATTTTTGAATCAAGTAGTATATAATTCTACTACGTCACACACATGTACGAGTTATACTTAAAGGCAAAGTGAGCATGTGTGAACATATTGCCAGTCCGCCGGATTTTATGGCTGTGTTGTCCACGTTTCCAACTTAATTCTATTCCATATTTGTTCATCTTTCTCATTTAATTGCAAAATAATTATATTTAGGGTAAATTTTCATTATTAATTTAATTATTCATTAATGCGGTACGCGTACGGTTAAGCATGCTTATAATTTTGATTATGTAACGTGTGTGTGAGAGATATCTAACAGTGATTAGAGGTTATGTTTTCCAATACTTATTTATTCTTTATAGTGTTGTGTGTTGTATATATTTCTTTCTTGAGAAAATATTATTCACTTTCTTTTATATAGTGATTCATTACGCACACTTTTTCACAATTATTCTTTTGATTAAAACGCAATTCTTTTTTTTTTCTTTTTTTTTTCTTTTTTTTTTTTTATTTCCGTTTATAATTTCCATTCGCAATATCGGTTCGCGATTGTGCGAAAATATATATAATGATGCCGCAGATTCTGAATATTGTAGTCCGTATGGCAACAATATTAAATGAAATAAAATTCTTATTGTTGACAAGTTGGCGTTAAATTAATAATAAAATTGATTTTCTTTAAATGCTTTCATTAATAATGAATTTTAAACTCGTTTATAAATTGTCTTTCAAATATCTGATAATTGTGCGTGTTGTAAACTGTTTACAAGCCATAATGAAATAATTGTGAATCATTTTGTGTGTATACAATTTTATTATTCTTTTAAAGTAAAGTTTTGAAGTCAAAGTTTTGAAAATATTTTTTTTTTTTTTGAAATATTGTTTTTCTATATTGTATATATTTTTTTAGTATCTATAAATAAACTGTGTATGAGTGATTTTTTTTTTTTTGTTTTAATGTATAGGGAGTGACAGAGGCAGAACGTGAAGCTTTTGAATTACTTCCCGATGATGAGAGACAGTGTGAAGCATGTAAAACGACCTGTTTTTTAAGTGCTGTTACTTGTTCGTGTCAAAGTTCGCAATTGGTTTGTCTAAGGCATTTCACTGATCTTTGTGAGTGTTTGCCTGAGAAGCATACATTAAGATATAGATATACGCTAGATGAATTACCCATCATGTTGCAAAAGTTGAAGCTTAAAGCCGAGTCTTTTGACTCGTGGGTTGCAAAAGTAAAAGAGGCAATGGATCCTGATGGAGAGAAAATTGAGCTTCATGAATTAAAGGAACTTTTAACCGAAGCCGAAGCTAAAAAATTTCCTGAAAGTGAACTTTTGACTGCACTTACAAATGCAATTCAGGATGCCGAAAAATGTGCTAGTGTCGCACAACAATTGTTAAGCACTAAACAACGCACGAGGTTAGTATATCTATTTTTTTTTATCTATTTTTTTTCCAACAAAAATCGAGTTCAAAATATTTATTTCAAAATTTTTTTTTAAATTTTCAGAACAAGACAATCAGTCGACAACAAGTACAAATTAACTGTGGAAGAATTAACATTGTTCTACAAAGAAATATCAAATTTGAGTTGTGAACTTAAAGAAGCAGAGGGCATTAAGTACATATTAGATCAAGTCACGCAATTTCAAAAAGATGCGGAAGATTTAGAAGCGGCTGAAGATGATTGTGATATTGATAAACTTGAGAATTGTATCGATTTTGGAGAGTCAATTTGCATTGATTTACCACAGCTCGTCCGATTGAAACAGGTAATTGAAAATAATAAAATTTGATTTTCTTCTCTTTTTTTTCGATTTTTTTGTATTAAATTGCTTAATTATAGATTAAAAAAAAAAATTGGGGAGTAAATTTTTTATTTAAACTCTATTAAATGATAAAAGGACAATATAATTATTGTATAGAAAATGTCGCAGATTCGTTGGTTGGAGGAAGTGAAGACAATACAAGAGGAGCCAAAGACAATTACACGTGAGGATCTAGGAAATTTAATTGAAAAAGGAATGACAATTCCGCCACATTTCAGTATTGAAAATACACTTTCTAAATTGCAAGGACTTTTAAACAGTATTGATAAATGGGAGGAGAAGGCAAAATTATTTATACACACCAAGGAACGACAATCAATAAAAATAGTTGAGGAATTTGTTATTGAAGCCGATGAAATTGATGCCTATTTACCAAGTTTAAATATATTACAAGAAGTTTTAAATAAAGCAAAAAGTTGGACAAAAATTGTTGAAGATATTCAAGGAAAGGATAATATTGCATATTATGATACACTTGATGAACTTGTTCGTAAAGGACGAAACATTCCACTACATTTGGACGCGTTACCAGTTCTTGAATCAATTCTTTCGCAAGCAAGATTATGGAAGGAAAGAACAGCGAGGACATTCCTGAGAAAAAATTCACATTATACATTAATGGAGGCATTATCGCCACGTGTTGGCGTTGGTGTACAATCAATGAAAACAAAGAAAAATCGTGGCGATGATACAATAAACGCTATTTATGTTTGTGATACAAAACTTGACGATTCAAGTAATTCGGCGGCGGTTGTTGCCGCTTTTAAACTCGCTGAACAACGTGAAATGGAAGCAATGAGAAATTTACGAAAGAAAAATGCAATGAAGGCACAACTTGATGATTCAAAATATTGTGTTTGTCGTAAATCAAGATTTGGCACAATGTTTCATTGTGAATTGTGCAGAGACTGGTTTCATTGTAAGTTTCCTTTTGTTTTGCAGTTTTAGATATTTATTAAGATAATAATGAATTTTTTTTTTAGATCACTGTGTACCACTTCCAAAATTGGCTGTCAAGGGAAAAACATCCGTATCGCCGGAAATGAAATTTCTCTGTCCTTGCTGTTTAAGATCACGAAGACCACGTTTGGAGACAATTTTATCGCTTTTGGTTAGTCTTCAAAAAATACCAGTACGTTTACCGGAAGGAGAAGCTTTACAATGTCTTACAGAACGTGCCATGAATTGGCAGGTAAGTTTTTTTTTTTTTAATTTCAAAATTCTGATTACTAATAATGTAAAATAAATAAAAAATTTTAATTACATTATTTTAATTTACTTTCAAATAGGATCGAGCAAGACAAGCATTGGCTACAGAGGAGGTTAGTTCGGCTTTGTCGAAATTATCGGTCCTATCACAAAAATTGGTGGAAGCTGCTGCTAGAGAAAAGACTGAGAAAATAATAAGCAGCGAATTGAAAAAGGCCGCGAATAATCCTGAACTTCATCAAAGGGTACAGGCAATTGCACCACTCAGTGGAGTACATTCGGATGATAGTGCTCTCAGCGCACAGGTAATTGAAAATAGTAAATTATAATTTTTTTTAAATTGTTCGATCCAAAAAGACTATAGTTTATTAATATTAAAAAAAAAGCTTGGTTCATATTTTCATGTTTGATAAAAAATTTTTTTTTTTTTAGGAGGATGACGACGATGTAATTCCACTCGAAGATGATGAACCTACATGCAGTACATTTAATAGTAATGAACACGCTTATTCCTATGGTTTGTAAAAATAAGCTAGATTCATAATTTTTATTTAAAAATTTTTTTTGTAGTGCATTTTTGATATTGTTATTTTTTAAAATAGATAATTTTCCAGGTATGTTTTTTTTTTGCTGATTTTATGTTTATATTTTTTTTCCCCTTATGTTATTTTTTTTTTGATTTATTTAAAAAAAAAGTAATTTAATTTTTATAAATTTTCGATTTTAGTTTCCAAATTCAATCCAAAAGGTGATGGAGTAAAAGATCCGGAATCATCGATTAATTTATCAGATACGGTTAAATCACATCTTGATGATTTAATGATGGAAGGTGATTTATTGGAAGTTGCATTAGATGAAACGCATCATATATGGCGAATTTTAAGTCATACGGCAAGTCCAAAAAGTGTACGTAAATATGCGGCATTAGATGAAACAAAAGGTAATCAAGATTTAGAAGTAAAGGAGGTGAAAAAACGTGGTCGTAAACGAAAATCAGATGAATTTGATCTTATGAAAATGAATCGTCAACGTTCGGAGGAGAAATTATTGTCGAAACAACAACGTAAGGGATTTAATAAGGAGAAAAAAATTACGTCTGTCACTGGACAAGTAAAACGTGGACCACGTAAGGTATGTGTATGGGAATTTTTATCATGTGGATTATTTTATTGGTCTCGAATTAAAATTGATTTTCCAATTTAAATTCTAGAGACAGTTTTTTTTTGTTTTTTTTGTGGGTAAAACGTAGGGGAACCACGACTATTTCGATTTCAGTTAAATGTGTATTGTAGATGAAACGAAAGGATGGGGAGGAAGTTGCGAAGAAGAGGGCAGGACGTAAGAAAACAAAACAGGATACTTCTGAAGATGAGGAAGATTGTGCTGCGTATAGCTGTTTACGACCCAGTGGTAAGAAAAAAAAAATTAAATTTTTTAAAAGTAAATTTTTAATTAAATTTTTCTCTCTAATGAAAGCTAAATATTTTTGTAATATTTTACAGGACATGAAGTCGATTGGGTTCAATGTGATGGTGGTTGTAATGGTTGGTTCCATATGCATTGTGTTGGTCTTGATCGAACTGAACTTGCTGAAGAAGATGACTATATCTGTGCTAATTGTAAAGACACGGATCAAAACACTACGGTATGATTAGTCAAACAGATGAAACTACGTTTTTTTTTTTCATACACACATACAATTTCTTTTAGTTTCTCGCATCTCGTTGTATATATCGCTATTGTTAGTCGATTCTTGCATGAAAAAAAAGCCTATAAGTCTCTTCAATTTGTATCTTTTTTTTTTCTTTCATTTTTTTTTAGAAAAAAAAATCATGCATACGAACACAACGATAGTGCCGTAAATTTCTTGAGTAGACGCATCATCTTTCATTTGTAAATTTTTTCCAGTACATATTATATAGAAACGCACTGTAAATACCAGTTAAAAAAAAAAAAAAAGAAAACTTATGTTTTTGATAAGAGATAGACGAAGAAAAAAAAGTATCTTAATGTTTAATTTTATGCTATTGTACAGGAAGAAAGAGAAGCTTTGTTTTTATTTTATTTTTTCATTGTAATATTTTTTTTTTTTTTGTCACGCATTTTACTTTTTTTTTGAAAACGTTCTTTAATGTAAATGTGTGTGCTATCTATAATATTAATTACAAATGCACTAATTAAAAAGTGCATTTGTAAACATCGGAACATGACGTAATTTTCAAATTTCTTTTTTTATTTATTTTTTTTTTTTTAATCGGATGTACCTTTTATTTCATTGACTATAGCTATTCCTCAAAGAGTAATAATCTGTGACTTTTGAAAGATGATGTTTCAACATTCATAAGTTATCAGAGAATATATCGGGGATTATGTCTGTTCCTATTTCATGGAATAATTGTCAAATTTTTAATAATGTTTATTTGAACAAAAAAAAAAAATTGAGACTTCTTTTTTCAAAAAATAATGATGAACACATGTTTATTTACTGTTTTTTCTGAAAATGTAGAATAAAATAGCAAAAAAAAAAAAAAGAATCAAATTTTTTCTTTATCTAAAAGGCATATCTATTTTGCACTATTTTTTTTTTTTTTTTTATTTTTTTTTTGTTAATATAATTAATGATATTTAAAAAAAAATCTATGATATTGACTTCCATCTTCGATTTTTATATAAAAATTATTATTTAAAAAAAAAATTTAATTTGCAATGTCCACAATTCTTATATGTTAATAAAAACTTTTTTTTTTGTTTTATCACAACAAATTTTTATAAATGTAAAAAATGGATTTTACTCTTTGTTAAGTTGTATTTTTTTTTTGTGATGAAACAATATGTCATAAAATATATTTTATTTTTTACTAAAAGAGAAAAAAGAAAACGAAAAAAAAAAACAAAAAAATTATAAAAAAAATTTGTGGACAGTGATTGAGAAATTTTGATAAAATTATTTCGTCAATTTGTAATGTTACTTTAATATTGTACATTACATTTTATTATGTAGCTCAATTATAAAGAAAAGAAATTATCTAACAAAAAGGGCTCGACAATATTATTAAATTGTTTTCATTTTCTTTATTATTCAGAATTTAGTTGATTCTTTTGCAGCGCTGTACTTTTTTTTTTTGTAGTTTAATATTCTGTATGATAGTTTTGGTGTATCAATTCAAATACTTTATATACTAAAATTGTAAAATATAGATGATAATACAAGCTCTGTAAACAATTCACGTTTTTTTTTTTTTTATTAGAATTTTGTACCTTGAAAATTTTCAGTTTTTCAATAATTTATTTTCAATTTTTTCTCAGTGGTGATTGTAATTTTGTTTCAAGTCGTAAATTTATTTTTATATTAATGGTATAAAATCTTTGGTTTATAGTTAGAAAACAATAGAAAAATATTCAATGTGCTTGCTTTAGAAGAATAGTATCTTCATTACACTATTTGATTATTTCGGCACGTATTTTTTATTTTTTGCAAGTCTAGAAAGATTTAGTGTCTCTTTTTGTACATCTTTTTGAGATATAAAAAAAAAGAAAGTAGTTAGAAATCCTGACGAATCTTGAGGTTTTGGATAAACTTCTATTCTCAGGGATACCAGAGTGCGGATGCTGACACAGATGCTGACAGTCAAGAGATGACATCTTTCGTCAGAACTTGTTAAATTGAAGGTCATATAGACACAACTATAAAATTGCACAAAGGAAACATTTCCCGTATACTGGAAAATCAATCGAAGGAAAAAGTGATTTGAATTTTTATTCAATTTTAGAAAATCTTTGTAAATTTCAAATACGCTGGGAAAAATTGGCAAAATTTTGTTTTTGAGAGAAAAAAAAAAAGTGAATGAAAACTTGAGATATAAAATGAATGTGTGAAGTAAAAAAAGGATCATTTCTTTTTTTTTCAATTAAAATGGCAAATGCAGTGAAAATAATAAAAAAAAAATAAGTGGTGGTTTATGGCCTTCGAAAATTCTTCGCGCCTTGCGTGGTGTGTAGAGATAGACTGAAAAATGATATATATGTACTAAAAACTTAAAAAAATAGATAATTATTATGTACACCCTTTAATATATTAATTATATTATCATCTCATACGCGACTTGACTCATTCAAGAGAGAAAAAAGAAAAAAAAAACCACTGAAATAATTATCTACAGAAAGTACAATTTTTTTTGAAATCTTAAAATAATTGTCAAAAAAAGAAATTCATAATCTTGAATGATTATTTTTTAAAATCACGTCACTTTCTTTTCTATAATTTACTGGAGTCACTTTTATAGATAAAAAAAAATAATAATAAGTAGAGGAGAGTCCTGTGTATATAATATTATATCATAGATCCTGTTTGATAGAATAATTTAAGAAAATCGTAGTTTTTTGTAAAATATATTATATATCATATTGTGCTACGAAATATCAATGTTTGTGCAGAAAGATTTTATTCCAATAAGTCAATGGCTAAGGTGGGTAATGATTTTTCTTTTTTTTTTTTTTTTTAACTTTTGTCGTTGACTACTTATGGCTTTTTTTAAAACGATCTTTGTGTGTTTATTGTATGCGTTACCGAGAGACATAAAGATCACACACAGTGTGTTTTAAATGTCTTCAATATTTAATAAATGTCTCATTTAAAACAGGCTGTGAAATATTCAAGAAGGATCGAGATGAAAAAAAAAAAAAAAAACACATATATGTATTTATATTTTTATATAGACACACAGCCTGTCGACTTTTTCCACCACATTTAAAAAAATTTTCGTTAAAAGTCGCATTGTTTTTTACTTTTCTTTTTAAATTTTTATTCTTTCATTTGAATCATTTTCTCCTGACAAGTGAAATAATTTGAAATTTATAATGTACATAAAAAAAATAGAATTATCATTATGTAATTTTAGTTTATGATTTTTTTTTAAAAAATAGATGCGTGACGTGTGTTTAATTTTAATGGAATTATCCAACAAAAAAAAAATTGTACTTCGATATTTTTAGCTTCCTATTATATACGTTTGTTGTAGCTTCGTTATTTTTTTTATATATTAACTTTTTTTTTTTTCTTTTTAATTATTTTAAATAATGAATTTTGTTACAAAAGCGTTCTGTTCCCTTTGATATGTTTAATATTTCATCCCATTGTTGTCGCAATCAGTTTGTTTTTAAAAAATCGATAATTTAAAAATTTTGTTTTATTCATATATAGAAATTATTGAAATACTGCGATGAAAAAAAAAAAAAAAAAAATGAATGGATTATGGTATATAATGAAAATTTGTATTAAATAATTATCTGGTACGAACAACTATTTTAATATGCCAATCAGAATATAGATTTGTTCATTGTACACCTAAAAATATTATGTAGACGATTTACAGATATTTATAAATCTTAAGAAGGAATTTAAAATATAAATGTAGTAAAAGAAACAAAAGAAAAAAACAAAAAAAAAAAAAAAAAAAAAATTTATTTGTAAGATTATAACATAACTCATTTGCAAAAAAGTATAATAAATACTATGCGTACAATGAAATGTGAATTGAAAATTTGTTTTTAAATTATATTTTTCTTTTATTTAATTGTTAATTAATAAATTAAAATAAGATTTTTTTATTATAAAAGGTATTTTCAAAGTAAGATCTAAAAATAGAAATCTCGTTCACTACAAAGAAGTGTCGTCAGCTAAAATAACAAATCTTTTGAATCTATTATTTAAAAAAAAAAAATCAAATGACAATATAGACTGACGAAAAAGGATAGAATATGATTCACTCGATTAATGACATGAATGCATTACTTGTTTAACGATTACTAATGTAATGATTCATTGGAATTTTTTTTAGTTTATTTGATTTTACAGTTTATCATTCCCTCTCGTGGTCAATGTAAAAAAAAAAAGTAAAAGAATGATTCATTTATTAGAAACACAATTGCCGCATCAATACTTTATCAAATACTGCAACTTTCATTTTTCTCTCTTTTTTTTTTACTAAACAAAAAATTGTCATTTTATTTCAATTTTCATGGAAATGAAAATAAAAAAAGAAATTAAATAAATAAAAATAATAAATTGATACGCATATTGTAAATAAATGTGTAGAAATTAAATGACATTTAATTTGTGATGAAAGGTAAATAAAAAAAGAAAATTGCATTCGATATCAATATTCACTTTTTAATTAACTTTTACCAATTAATTGTCATTTTATCAAAATTGTATTTTTTAATAATTACTCATTTTTTTCACAATTTATATCAATTTATTATATTTATGAATTTATAATGTTTATTTAACTAACATGAAAAATTTATTAACTATATATTTAATTAGAAAATTTATTATCATTAAACTAAAAAATTAAATAAATAATAAAAGAAAATAGTTTATTTAAGAATTTGAAAAATCACAAATACAATTGAATTTTTTTCTCATTAAATTAAAAAATTTAATTTAATTATTATAGGTTTCAGAAAAAAATTATTATTCAAATATATAATTTTTGTATACTGAAAAGATTGATCGAACATGAGTTTGACAATTTTTTTTTTTTTTTTTTTTTTCTTTATATATAAAAGAAGCCCCCCTCCGTTTGTGCATACTTGAGATAGTACCGTGAGAGCAGAGTTCATTCTATCCCGCATAATTATCTTTTTCGTGAAACTAACTCCTTTGCAAGTCGGGCTCTTTAAAGTTTCCCCTATATATATATATATGTACAGTTGTTTCCTGTCACAATAAAACAATGATGTTTTTAATTTGAAATTTCTCGTCTATTATAAATATTACACACTATGATTTTCAGAGAAAAAGGATATTTAATTTTTTAATATCAAATGAGGAAACTAATTAAATGAAAAATCAAACTAATAAATTAGGGAATTTTGAAAAAATCATAAAAAAAAATATCACATAAATTCTATAAAACACATATCTTTTTAGTTCTTTTGATGAAAAATTGACTGAGAATTTTTTTTTCCAATTTTCCATCAAATCAGTAAAAATATATATTATATTTTACAGATATTATGTTTCATTCATTATTAAATTTCTCATTAAATTTGGAAAAATCTGAATATTTTTAAGCTATCAAAGGTGATTTGTTTTAATAATTTCAATAATTCTGTAATATAACTTTTAATTAAATTATTCATTGTGAATACTTTCATTCCATTTTTGAGAAAAAAAAGGATCACAATTTTATTCCCTTTTATAAATAATTAATAAATTCACATTTAGAATAGTAAAAATTTAATATACTGAAATTTAAATCTATTGTTGAGATTAAAATAAAAGGGTACAATTAAAAATTCCCTTTAATAAAAAATTCATATTCAGAATAATAAAAATGTAATTGAAAATTAATCCATATAAAAAAAAATGTCAATTGTTGTATATTAAAAATTTAATTATCTTTAAATTTATAAAATTAAAAGACATTAAAATTGTATTTTAATTAAAAATTAATTTTTGCTTAATTAAGGAAAAATGTAAAGATTGCAGTATATAGAAAAGTTCTGTTTTATGTATTTTAAAACGGTTTTTAATTTAAATTGAATTGAATCTAAGTTTTTTTAATTTAATTTTTTGTTTCTTTTAATTAACATCTGTTTCTTATATATATTCTTCAAGATTCATACATATATACTCAAAAGGGATATGTTTCTCTTGACACCAAATGCTAATTACACATTGTACTACGTTTTTCTATTATTTTCAAACTAAAAGTTTAAACATTATTTATCCGTTTATTCTTAAATTAAAAAACACATTTTTCCAAATTTTTTTAAATTTGAAAAACTGTTCCTTACGATAATAAAATTTAACTTTATATTCTCCAAAAAAAAATTAGATATCAAAAGGTAAAATATTTTTTTGATTTTTTTTCAACAATTTTTAATTGATTTTTAAGAAATATTTCTTTATATAAATTTAAGTGAACTGAAAATTATTTTTTTCTTTAACTGAAAAATTTCAATATTGTACATATATATTTTACTAAAATATATTAAAAATATCAAAAATATTAATAATATTAAAAATATTAAAATATTATTAACAGAAATATTATTTAAAATTAAATTTCTGATTTAATTAATTTTTTACATAAGTCAAAAGAATATTTTAAATATTTTCAATTTATTATTATTTATTATAAAATTTCAGTCAAAATTATATTATGAAAACTTAACACTTGTTAATAAAATAAAAAAAATAGGTATAATACATAGAATGTCAGAAAATGAAAATTTATTTGAATATATATACTATATATATTAGTATTTATTTAGTATTTATTTAGTATTTATTTAGTAGTTATTTAGTAAGTAAGCTTACTAAATAACTTCTAAAAGCTAATTAATTATTAAATTCCAAAAGTTAATTAATTATTTCTCTATAATTAATTAATAATCTAATTAATTTTTTAAAATTTCAAATTTTCAGCTATTCTCATTTTTTTCCAAGTAAATTTTTAATTAATTTTAATTTTTTTTTTTAAATATAATTTTCAAACGAAAAAATAACAAAATTAATAATAATTAAAAATATATAACAAAATCCCAGGGTTCAATGAAGTTTGAAGTCATCCCTGGTTTTTCTCTCACACTCCACAAATGCTGTTTGCTACCTAAGAATTCGTCAGACTAGTGTTTCAGTCAGTGTTAGCTGAGCTCCACGAAAGTAGGGACTGTTTTTTTTTTAATCATCATCATAATCATCATTATTCTGACGTCGCGTATCAACGACGACGCGGATACTGGATGATTAAAGGATATCCTGTGTTTGTAGTTAAAAGAAGAAAAAAAAGGCCGGGAGTGTTTTTAATATTTAAATTTTATTGATCGTTCAAAATTCGATCATTTTCTCAAAAAAAAAAAAAAAAAAATTCTTTGAAAACAAACAAGAATAAAAATTAAAAAAAAAAAAAAAGTGTACTTATCCGGATTGTTTATAGAAGTATAAAAACCCTGTTATAGGAATTTGGGTGTGGGACAAAGTGATTTGGGAGAGTGTACAGGGAAGAATCCGGGCAACATGGCCACCGCCATTGACGACCGGCAAGAATTGTTGGAGCAATTTCAAACGGTGAGAAAAAGAAATAAATCATCATTATTAAATTTCATTGATAACAAAATTTTTCATGAAAAAAAAATTAAGTAACCTGCGGAAGGGAGGGGGGGGGGATAGAAAATAGAAAAAAAGAAAATTACATACTGTCTAAAAAGAAAAAGATTGTCCATGCCCTTTTATTGATTTACTTCATCTAAAACCCTCTCAACCCTATTTTGAGAGAGAGAGAGAGAGAAGTTCTCAACCCGCACCCTCGTGGTTTATTTTATATGCCGGGTGTCATCACCCCCTTATATAAATTTTTTTTTTTCATAAATTTATTCTCCGAATAAGAATAACCTGTTCTTTCCCCACAGAATGATAATTGAAAAAAAAGAAAGATTGAATTTGTTTATTGATTCAAATCACTTTTTTTCACTCAAAAAAAATAAATACATGCGAATTTAATAATTGGTACTTGAGAAAGAGATGATTTTATAAATTATTTGAATTTTCAAGTACTCTCTTCTTTTCAAGGATATATATATATATATATATATATATATATATATATATATATATATTGATGATTGAAAATTATATTTAATGGATACAATCAATGATTTATTGTAATCAATGTCTACAATAACATAAAAATTTATTACCAAAGACAGAGAACACTAAAATTTCTTTATACTTTTTTTTTTACTAAAACGAATCCTGAAGTATTTTCCATAAAAAAAATTGCTAATGATATATTGTTACTTTTGATAAGAATACAATAAAAAAAAAAATTTATTTGATTCAAATAATCGATTACTTGACTATTATTAAATAAATATTTTTAAATAAATAAATTTTGAAACCAAATAATTGAATTTTTTTTTTTTATTAATTAAGCTTCAGCCTTTCGGTTCAGAAGTGGAGTTGGTTTAATACAAAACCAAATAATTGAATTAAGTAAACTGTATTTGAACCAATAATTTCTGTATTTTAAATAAATACCATTTAATTGACTCAAATCTAATTATTTGATATAAATATTAATTATTCGATAGAAATAAATATTTATTTGATAATAGTCAAATATATAATTTATAATTTTTTATTTATTTTTATTTATTATTATTGTTATTATTATTATTTCTATTTATTATTATTATTATTATTATTATTAGTAGTAGTAGTAGTAGTAGTAGTAGTAGTAGTAGTATTTTTTTATTTAGATTTAGTATAATTAAATATCTAAAAAATTTTAATAAAATTTTAGTACATTTACAAGATTAAAGTCGCGAAATAAAATTTTATTTATCGGACAATGACATTTTCATAGAAATCGGGAAATATTTTTTTTATCATTACGAATTATATAATTAAGAGTTTATTTCTCGGAAAGGATGTGACAAATCAGTTACGAGTTAATTGATTTCATTTCAGATTCAATGTAAAAAAAAAAAAAAATTACGCATAGTTAAAAGTGACGTAGCACCGCTTTACAAGTCTCCAATAAACAGGTGTTTATAGAATAGTAAAATACAAAAAAACTATAGAATAGTAAAAATAGTAAAAATACTAAAAATACTAAAAATTCTAAAAAATACTAAAAATACTAAAAATACTAAAAATACTAAAAATACTAAAAATACTAAAAATACTAAAAATACTAAATATACTAAATATACTAAAAATACTAAATATACTAAAAATACTAAAAATTTAATAATTTATTTTCTTTCTTTTAATTTAATTTAAAATTTCAAAAGAGAAAAAAAGAAAAGTTAAATTATCAATTCTTTAAAAAATTAAAATTTCTATTTTTGACCAATTTTCTTATGGTTAAATTATTGAATTTATTATATACTAATAGTTATAATGTATGTACGTGCATCTTTTAGACAGGATTTAATTATTATTTATTTATTTTTTTTTGAAGTTTAGAAAAATACAAGTCACACTTTATAATAATTTAAATAACCGCAAAGTAGAGTCAATGAATCATTTCCTTTTATGGGACAAAATGATTTACTTATCTGTTTATAAATATATATTCTTTTATTTTTTTTTTCTTTTTATGAAAATGAAATTTTCTACCACTTATAAATTTATTTGTTCGATAATGAAGGTCTTTTTCTTTTATACATATATAAGTAGATTTTAACAGGTGATGAGATTCTAAAAAGTAGTTTAGAAATTATATTGCTTTCTACTCAATTTGGTATACAAAAAGTAATTTACCATATTGGGAGTTAATTTGCTTCTAAAGAAAAGTCGAATTGGGCTAATAAGGCCTTCCCTTGTGTTAATGATTTCTTTCGAATTCTAGTTTAATGACAAAGATGATGATAATATAAAAAATAAGAATTAGTAAAAATAATAAAAAAATATTTATAAAAAAAATTTTTTAAAGAAAATATTTAAAAAATATATTTATAAAAATATAATAATATAATAATATATAAAAATAAATAATAATAATATAAGAATATTATAATGATATAAAAATATAATAATCAAATTAGTGATATTAATAATAATAATCGAAAAATCAAGTAAAACTGGAAATTATAATTTATGTGGTAAAATTACTGAAATCTTGTTTTAGGCCTTAATGATATAATTTATGCCATAAAATCGTTATTAAGAAATAAAATACACCAGATTAAACATTTTTTTTTTTGAAACGTTATAAATAATTTCAAAATTTGAAAACCTTGGAGATGACACACTTCATAAAATGGTTAACAAACCTATTTACAACACTTGTAAAATTGAATAAAATTTTCCTCTGAATTGTTATCTCTCATAAAGATAGAATTATTATTTTATGATATGCGTATATATATATATATATTTTTTAAATGTGAATCAGTATAACGAGTGCGTTTAATAAATGAGGCCTCTTCGAACAAAAAATTAAGCATATATATATATACCTCCTCTCTTATATTTCTATATAACGGTACATATAACCAAGATCTGAAAACACAATCTCGTTCTCAAAATCCTCCAAATATCTTGGAACCACACCTTTGATTTCTCAGATTATACCGTTGGCATATATATATATATTTTAACATCAGCTCAAAGATATCGTTGCGTATGCGTAATTTTTTTTTTAATCATTTTTTCCAATTTGTGGATTGCAAAAAAAAATTGCGTTTTTTTTTTCATTAATTCGGATAACAAAAAAAAGGAACTTAAAATTTAACTGAAATTTTTTTTAAATATATCCCTTTCAGAGTAAAATTAAAAGGAAGTTAAAATTTGTGGAGTTAAAATTTTAATACACAGCATTTTATTTAAAAAATTAAAAAAATTTAAATTGTAGAAAAATTAAAAGAAAAAAAAAATTAACTCCTATTTTGGAGTTAAATTATAAAGGTGTAAAAATTTTAACTCCCAAATTTTATTCCCTTTGCTTCAATTTCCAAAGAAAATACAATTTTTATATATACAAATAAATAAACTTTAAACTTAAATTTGTACTTTACAAATTTTTTTCTATATATATTAATATGAATTTGCAAAATTACCTATATATAGCTGAATCAAGCTAAATCAACAGATTCATCATATAATTATATATAGGTATATATATATACGCTTATTTAAAATAAGTGGAACTCGTTTATTGCTGATTCAAATTTATAATAGACAGAAATTATTTTAATAAAACACATTGCATTTTTAAATTAAATTTTTCTTTTTCTTTAATATATAAAGAAAAATTAATTTTTTTTTAAAACTATGTTAAATTGAGCACTGCTAATGTTTTACCTTCATAAATTTTTATCTATAATACAAAAAGCCTTATCGGGATATTTAAATATATTGCGCGAACAATTTTAATTTATTTGCCATTTTTTGCACAATTTTAGAAAAGTATTTTCCTGTTTTTTTTAGAAGGATTATAATTTTATTATTATTACTTATTATTATTATTATTATTATTATTATTATTATTTATTATTATTATTATTATTATTTATTATTATTATTTGTACACTGAAAAAAAAATTTATTTAATTCAAATAAAAAATTATTTGGTTCAAATAAATATTTATTTGATAATACTGAAGTAATCGAGTATTTGAATGAAATAAATTTTTTTTTTCATTGTATATTAGTTATTTTTTTTTTACTATTATACGATTTTTATAATTATTTTTAATTAAAAATTTTTATATTTTACTATTATTACAATGAAAAATCGCAAATTCTTAATTTAAAAATAATAATATTGTTAAAACTGAGAATATGCTCTCTTAAACTGACCTTATTCTCATAATTGCAAAACAATAAATAACAAATAAATCGTCAGTACTGTAATAATTTAAGTGTAAAGTATCTTTTTTTATTTTTTTATTTTTTTTTATAAAAAGCGTCAATTATTTTTTGCCCTTCATGTTTTAAATGATACTTAAGATGAATTTATGGTTATGAGTGTGACATAATAATTGGTCTCTTTTTTCTCTCTCACTCTCGAGTATATTATATTTCTCCAATTTTATTCCATCAATGCAACAATTTATATATTTCAATAATTATATTCAACTTTTAATTATAAATTATAATTTTTTTTAAATTTATAATTAAGATTATCAATTTTGCAAAAATTTTGAATTTTGAATTTTTCTTTTTCAAATGGGACATTTCATGTGAAATTTTCCATAAATTATATTAATTTGTCGTATTGTGAAACGAGTGTAGTTTTTGTTATTTTATTATTGTCATATATCACTGTTCTTAACATAATGAGGAATATTTTTTTGCAATATTTACGTATATTCTCTGATAACTACTGGTATCATTTATATGATAGCGCGACCATATATATATATATATATATATATATATATATATATATATATATATATATATATATATATAGTTACGTAAGATTTTCTATTATTATTATTATTATTGGAAAACTCGAGTCTGTTCACTACATTCTATTGGCGTTTAATTGTATAATAATTATTATTGGCATTCCGTTGTGTGTGTCTTTACCATGGGAAACAATCTAATTTGAAACA